TAGCGAGCGAGTGATGTAATATGAGTTCGTAATTAGCTTACCACCAGAGTTGTGTCATATACTTTTTCTACGATCTATAATGAAGAATCACTTTCAGAAGAAATTTTTTTGGGAAAGCAAATATTTATAGTTGCTATGGAAACTACCCAAACAGGCACGTAATATATATATATATTACGTGCCTGTTCATTCATTACATGCCAGTGGGTGTAACTATGGTTTTACTATGAGGCTAGACAGTTCGTAATTCATGGATTACTATGTGGGAGTAGAAAAAAGTATTAAATAAGCATATAAGTTTTAATATGCATAAAATTGAAAAAAAAGCAAATAAGCAATAAAAAAATGTGTCAAATGACCCCAAATTGTATCATAGTTACAGATATAAAAAAGTTTTGAAGTGCTTACATTTTTCACAAAAAGCATTAAACCTAGAAATCCGCTCTTTAGTGATGATACAGATTTTCATAGCGAAATAATAGTAACTTGTCGGGGGATGATATTTTTACGCATCTTTGGTTCTAAATTTACCAAGGTAGTGAAAAACTACCTGACGTACAACAAAATAAGTATAATTTTAGTTAGATCATCCACGTTGTTACTTTGCACCAAATTTTAAGCATTTTCATTTTTTTTTGTAACTCTTCATGGACCTGGAGAAGGCGTATAGTAACGTTCTTATTAATAAGCGTTTGGAAGTACTTAGTAAAAGCAAATAAAGACCACTTACGTAAGCATTAGTAATAGCTATGTAGATAAATAATTCAATTTAAAGCCGGAAAAATATTTCAGAAGAGCTAAACCCATCAAAGCACTAGAGCAAGGTTGTTGTCTTTTACCAACCCTTTTAGTAATCTTAGAAAAGTGAAAAAAGAAGTTGGAAGATATGGAAATAGGCTGTTCACAAAGGTCGAAATTTCCATTTCTAAGAAGAGTGGGCGAGCAGAACGAACTGATGATTGAGAATTAAAGATGAGATGCTAAATGTGGCATGCGACAATAGTCGTATGTAGAACCCCCATTCATATAAAAACAATCTTTAAGTGAAATTTTAGTGTTTGTTCCGTACATATGAAACACTTAGAAAAAGCCGAATAACTGTTTTAAATAGCGTAAAGTTTTATGCTTTCTAAGAAATGGATACTGTTAACTTGGTCATTGCTACTGAAAACTGAAAGTATCGGCAACAATGTTTATATTTCTGGCATATTTTTTATCAATACTTATATAATAAAGCTGAAGCTTTTGTTTATTTGAACACGTTAATCTTAGAAACTACTGGTTCAAATTCAAAAAATCTTTTTGTGTTGGATAATCCATGTATCATATCTACATATAGGTTATATAACATCACGCTACGATCATTAGGAGCGAAGTAGCAATGAAACATTCGGAAAAACGGGAAAATTATTCCTCCTTTGACAGCTTCCGTTGCTTACGCTGCTTAAGTGGTTAAAGTTACGTAAAAATCATGTATGACGAAATTGTTCCCCTTTAAAAGTTCTAAAGAAAAGTCCGCGACAGCATATGTCCATCTTTTAAGGTCGAGTCAGTATAACCTTTTTTATGGTAATGAAATTTGTTCTAAAATAATAATGCATTTTATGTATAAAATTCTCGCCTCACAGTGTTTGTAACCGAACTTCTCCCAAATGGGTTGACCGATTTGTATGAAATTTTTTATGTATATTCGGTAGGTCTGAGAATAGGTTGTAAACTATTTTTTAAACCCCTAAGTGATAAGGGTGGCCCACCCTAAAAAATTTTTGTGTATTTTTTTGACAAAATTTTTTATTTTTATTTTGTTAAGAATTGGCATCAAAAAATACACATAACCCTAAATTTTCACCTTTCTACCACCAACCCCCATTTTTTAATCGTCTATATAATAAAAATCAATTGCTGTTCCTGTTAGTCTCGCTAAGACTCAGAAACGGCTTAACCGATTTGAAGAATTTTTTATATTACGGGGATGGTTTATAAATTAAAAAAATAAGGAAAACTTAAAAGAACAGATAAAAAATAAAAAAATTCTAAAAATTTAGTATGGGAATCCCCACTTCGAATTAATTTCAATAGTTGCCGTTTCTAACTGACGTGTCATACAAAACTAATTCTTCCGTGCAATTGTGAAAAGTATGTTGCATTTCAAATCGTTCTTTGTTTTTTCGTAAAAAAAAAACGTCGTTTATTTTAAGAAAAGTCTTGGTTAAAGTGAATTTAATTACATATTGCGAAAGTTTCTTATTAATTTTGATCTGCCATTCTATTTACCTATATTCACTTTGTTGGTTTCGACAAAACCTCAAACTTTACCGTTATTCGAGGATTTCATTGGGAGTTTTCGATATTTTAAAATTCTCAAGACAAAATTTACAGATTTGATTGACTGTGAAAATAATTCTGTGTCGTTTTATGAAGTTCATTAAAATGCCGAGAAGACGACAACCTCACATAGGTCCACGAAGTCAATCAAATGTGCGACGAACTACCTCAGGTGCAAACCGCAATGATTTATTTTATGGGTAATTCGGATATGGAAGTTGATCAGCGTTGTGCTCATAATCAACATAATCAAACATTGAAGCAAGACATTGGGTGGTATGAAGAAAACTGAGTAGAAACTAATATTCGAAGTACGAAGTACCTACTTCATTATTACTCTTATACACCTGAGCATCTACTCTATGTACTGAGTACCTACTTGGAAACATTATATCTCCCCGGACAGAAATTGAACATCTGCGCGTTTTGTGAGCATTTAATCTAAAAATGAGCATCGGCGTGGCAAATAACTGAGCTGTCTGTAAAGCAGCTTAGAAAACGAGTAAGATCATTGTAAGAGTGAATTTTAACTAAACATGGCCACTTTCATGAACGTGGAACGTCGTCAAAAGGTACATTCAGTTTGAAAAACACATTAGGAGCAGGAATATCAAAAACTTTTCAGGTAATTAACTTTTATTTATGCATAAATTGTGCAGTGCGTTTTTTCTAACACTGGCCATAGAGATTCCCATCTCAAAGTGTCTACCCCATACTAACTTATATTTTGGTGACTCGATTTTTGCTTTAATGGTTGAACACTGTCACTGTTGTCCTTTTTTGTTGTATCGAGATGCTACTTGAGCATCAACTGTTACCTACTGAAGTATTAATATCATCTAGAAAAACTAGAAATATTTTGATTTGATATTCGAGTAGATACTTCGTATTTCGAGTATGAGCACCTACTGAGTTTTATTTATATCAACCATTGTCAAAAAATTGATCGAACGTTGTTTCGACAGAACTTCCTTCGCACCAAAAGTATAATGAAACATATTCAGCATTTTCGAGTTGAGTCTTTTCTTCACACAATTTTGTGATGACCTAATCAACATTTACGATCAACACATATACCACCTTGGATTCGTGCAGTGTAATACTAAAAATAACTGTATTGTATTCCCAAAATAATCTGCGAAAATCGAGTGAGCCATTCCATCAATTTTTTGGGGGCAATAATTAAATATTCTTAACAATTTACCATGCTTACAGTAACTTTAAAACGTCTGCAAGATCTCAAAGTATTCATTTTTGCAACTCTTGAGTTATTCACTAAAATAAATTGACTGATCCATATATTTTTTTGAGTCACTGTACAAGCAAATCTAAAAAATATGAATGCAATGATAAATTACGAAAATATACTGATGATATTTTCCATATTTTAGATAGGATTTATTCGACAAAATCTTGAGATGACGTCTTCAAGTTTTTGGGTTTGATAAACAGATATATTTTGATTGAAAACCTACCATGTCAAACATTAACTTCCAAACGTCTGCAATATTTCAAAATTCAGTCTTGCAATTCTTGATTCAATCAATAAAATAAATTGACTCAGTGATTAATTTTTTTGAGACACCCCCATAAGCAAAACTAAAAAATATGAATGGAATGATAAATCACAAGTATAGTCTCATCCTATTTTGGACATTTTAGATAGGATTCATTTGGCAAAATTTTGGGCAGACGTCATCAATTTTTTGGAGGGGATAAGTAAATATATTTTGAATAAAAATTTATTATGCTTATCATATGTTTAAAACATCTGTAAGATTTCAAACCATTCGATTTTGCAGATTCAAAATTAAATTGTAGGTGAAACGAAGTTCACGGGGTCAGCTAGTCCTTCAATAAAAGTTCAGGGAATTTTTATTCTTCTGCATCGAATACCAACAAACTCACTAGATTTTCATGGCCAACCCTACTATATAAAGATCGTGAACGGATAATATGTTGTACCCGACGTAGATTTTGACTTGTTAAATAAAAAGACTTGAATTACATCCGCTTGATAAAATTCTCGATATCACTAGGTACATGCGAAATAAATAGTGATTCGTACACTTGTTGTATAAAAGCTTTATTGTACACACCAAAACAACATACACCTAAATATTGTAAGCTTATTCTTGTCTATCTACAAATGCATCAAATAATACTTGAACATGTTCAAACTTAATTAATTCAATTTGTTTTGCTTACAAACAACTAACTACACAAACAAATTAATAACATTAACAACATTAATGCAAAATATAAAAAACGAATGCGGTGGCTTTGTCAAAAAATGTAGTGTCAAGTGTCAGATATGAAATGTGCATTGAACTATACACCTAAATCGTAAACATGCATGTACGTGTTTATTAAACAGAGACGAGGTAGATCTGGAAATAAATGAATCAAAAAATATATAGCTGCCGCCTAAAAGTTAATACACCGGTTAGAACAGCAGCCAATTCGTATACACAAATATTATAACAACCTAAAATCATTCGGATATTGCTTTAACAAATAGCTTCGATCCCGCAGAATGAACAATTTATATAATTTGTACATATACCATATATATATTAGTGGGTATTCGTAATTTCAACTTTAATACACGCTCGAGTAAGTACAATAGTTTGCATTTCCTTTTTAGGAAGTTTTTGTAGGATTTCGTAGTACAGTGAGACTTTAGTGTTGTGTATGTCGCGCTTGCCCCTTCTTCGAATTTTCCATAAACTCCATCAGACCCCGAGACATATAGTATGGTCTCGATATCCCGTCATTCATGACCGAGTCTTCACAGAAGCATATGAAGAGAGTGTCGATGATGGTCTGGAAACATCGATAACTTATTTATAGTCCTACTGTGTTACGTTAACTCACTTGGAAAGTCCCAAATATCACGTAAATAATGACACCATTTATGAAAAAACAGGTGGTTGCGGCTTTCCCTCCTACTGGACCAATATCCTGAAAAAAAAAAATCAAAACAATAAGTCAGTGTATAAAAAAATATGCATTTACCTTAAACAGGGCAAAGGAAATCGCTGTGGCGAGTACAGTGACAAGCATTATTATTACAGCCAAAACAAAATCTCCAACACAGTTTATAGCGACAATGTTGCCGATATTTGTCAAAAGTAGTTTGGTGGCTCGTCTGGCGGATCTCAGAAAAGACTGTCCATGAATGGCTAAAACACACACGTTATTTTGATATAATACACACGCAATTTTTCTAACCTGTCTGTATATAAGAATTTCCAGACAAGAATTTCAGAAGCACCTCCACATTGTTGCAACACAAATCCATGCAACATCTGCAGCACGCGTTTCTGAAAAGCATTCTTAGAAGTAGCTTCACTACGGCGAACAGCGTCATCAAGAAAGATCCGAATGCGATAGTACCGAGATGGTACTTCATGGTAACTTTGAAACTAGACCAGACTGGAGAATTCAACTGATCCTTGGTTCTGTAACACGAAAATCGTAATGGTGGCACACTTTTAAAATTCGTCTTACTTGGAAAAGTACCACCGTGCCACGCCTCCCGAGATGGTCATATACTGAATCCCGGCCACAAATCGCATAGCCCAACTCGTGACGATTATATTGAAAATGATTGTGAAAATCGCCACCCCGGACAATTCGTACTTGTACATATTTTCCCCGCGCCTTGTCAGTTTTCGGGAATAAAACATCCAGAAAGTCGTAACAATAGCAGCTATAAATATAATAATTTGGATGAATGCGATCTGAAAGTTGGATTTTAATACCAAAGTGGTTTTAAGTGCGGTACTTACGAAAATCGGGAAAAACACCACTAGGGGCATGGCAGCCAAAACTTTGGTTGTTTCTTTGTATAGCTGAATAACCAAACCTATTCTCTTAAATATGACTATAAAAATGATCAGTAATACGACAGCGAAAATTGTCCAAGCGATAACCGCTCCCAGGGGAATTGGAGTCTCCATTGGCCAGTCTTGTTTACCTTGCAAGAACGCAACCCTAAAAAAACGGATCAAGAAAAGTCCACAAGCCAGAACAATCGTACCATAAAAATCCGGTAGCAACCACTAGAACCAGCACCGAAAAAATCAAAATTGCCCACACAAACGGACCTGGGGCATACCTCAGCAGTACCAGTGTGATGATCCCTAAAGCTGTACCACAATCACGAATTTAAATTACAAAATATTTAAGAAAATTCTAACCAACTGTAAACAATAGCGACAAGCCGTACCTCCACCAAACGCTTGCATTACTCGGATAATCCCTCTAGAATCAGTCTGGAATAAGTACTAACAAAAAAACACCTATTTAAAATACCGTTGAATCAAAGATACTCCAGTTTTCTTCATTTTCGTAATTCGACTTTCCGTTCGTTTGTTTTGTGGAAAACTCAGAAAAAGTCTTTTTCAGCTCTTTATCGATGGTTTCACTCAACTTGTTTAACTCGTCTTCGAAACCAAACAAATCACATTCGCCATTTTCATTCGCGTGTCTGTAAGATAATCTTTAGAGTGTGAACTACAGTACGACAACTTACTTCTGAGATGTGAAATCTTGACCAGAGCAAGGGACTTCGTCGATTAGAGGGTTTTTGAGTCCGCAGAAATTTCCACAATTGTCGGTGTCATAAATTGCGAGTCTAGAATCTACTTTGACCAAGGTGTATATGAGAAAAGGTATCTGCAAAATAAATACAGCTATCCGCAATTACATAATTAACAAAATGGTGCAAAAAACTTTGTTCAGAAAGTAGCGTCATATTTATTAACATGAGCAAGGACGCATATAACGAAGCTCATTATTTATAGTCTCGTTTTAATGTCAATGTCATCCAATTATTACGAGAACTGAGTTCCTGAAATTCCCTTACCAGAATCAGTATGGCAACCCCAAAAATGGCGAATCCTTTCCTATCTGTGACAATCCTGTTTTCCGGTCGTGCGGGCACGTCCACGTTTTCGATGGAAGTGTTCAGCTTCCTGAACTCAACGAGCTGAAACATTAATGCTAGTTAATAACATTGTAAATTGCAGTAATTAATTGATGGCATTGTGTTCCGGTTAAAGTTTGACAAGTAGTGAGGTAATATTTTTCGGCAGTTTTTAGTGTAAACACTGCGGCGAAGAATGGGTCATTAAAAATAGACAGGGTATTTAAAGACCGTCTGAGCCTATAAAGCAAATTTAGATTAGTGTGAGTAACTAGATCGGTGAAAGTTTGGCTGTGAAGAGCGATCGGAATGAATAACGTAATAAAAATTCCTATTTTCGTTCGGGCCGAATTTTTGGACACTTGGAAGATTATTTATAGTTGAAATTTGTTCTTAATTTTGGTGTACTTTCTGAATTTTGTATTTAATGTTTTTACAAAGACAATATTTCTGGTTCTGGAATCGGTATTTCTTAAAATATCAAATTAAATCAATACAAAAAAAAATTATACGTATGTTAAGAAAAGAAAAAAGAAAAATATAAGCCCACCCACCCTAACTCAATTGTGATGAATTATTTTATTCATCGTGAGCCGGAGGGCGGAGCTTAATTGCAATCCTAATTTTTCTCCAAGAAATTACCATATGAAACATGTTCTCAAGTAATTGTGTGGCTCAAATAAAACTACATATCTCAAGTAAAAAAGAAAGCCAAAGATTAAGCCCCGCCCCGTTGACTTTCATTCGTTGACACACGGAAGGGTGGAGCCTAATTGCAAAATCGATATTTCTCTAGAAAACTTTACCTGTTTAAACACGTTTTAAGTTTTTTGTTGTGAAAAGAAAATTAAGTATGTTAAGAAAAAAAAAGCAAAATATAAGTACCCAAAATGTTGAAAATTCTGGAATGTAGATTTTAGAAATATCCTGTTTGAAAATAATGTTTTTTCATTTAATACTAAAAATTATTTAACACTAAAACTTCATTTGGCGATTCTGGTAGGAGTTTTTGAAAAAATAAAGCCGGAAATAACTTCTGGGAGTCAAAATCTACAGAAAATTAATTAATTGAGGAAATTTTCAAAGGTGGTCCGAAAAAAATCGAAATTTTCATAATAGCCCAGGGAATATTGGAAAACTGCTTTTGAAAAAGTTGTCCAAAAATCAACAAAAAATCTGGAATGTAGAAAATTCCAAAAACATACGTGTTCTGGAGCAATATTTTAGAAAAATCCTATTTAAAAATCTTTTTTTTGGACTAAAAATTTCACTGGACGGTTCTGGTAGAAATTTTCAAAAAAATAAAACCGAAAATAACATCGAGAGATAAAAATCTACCGACAAATCTCTTTAGGTAATTTTGAAAGTTAATCGAGAAAAGAGCGAAATTTTCATAAAAGCGGAAGGAACATTTGAATAATTGGTCTTTTGAAAAATTTGTCTAAAAATCTACAAAAAATTCCGGGATCTAGATCTCGACGTGCTGATTCGACATATAGGTATAGCATGTTTATGGTTCTGAAGCAAATTTTAGAAATATTAAAAGTAAAAAAAATCCGTTTGAAAATATTTTTTTAAACGACTCTAAAGCAAGAAAGAACGTCAAAAAATACATATTGAAAAGGTATTGAAAAAACTAAAATTTTTAAAAGCTGCCGAAAAATCCTCAAAAAATACTTGTACATACATCCTTAGAGGCTGATTTGAAAAACGCAAAGTTTGAATGGTTCCCGAACAAGATTTTCTGAAAATTTGCTTTGAAAATGTTTTTTTAATAACTCGAAAGCTCGAAAAAAGGAAAAAAATCCGTTTGAAAATGTTTTTTTTTTGATAACTCGAAAGCTTGAAAAAGCTCAAAAAATACACACGGGCGAGTATTGAAAAACTGAAATTTTTGAGAAGTTGACAAAAACTCTTCAAAAAATTTTACAGGTTAATTCGAAAAATACAAAGTTTTAGTGGTTCCCAAAAAGATTTTCGCAAAATTAGCTTTGAATTTTTTTTTTTTTAATAATACAAGGTGAAAAAATTTATACGGAGTTCCTGAAAAATTGGCATTTTTAAAAAGTTGCTTAAAAATCCTCAAAAATTCTGGGATATAGATCTCTGAGGAACTGTTTCGAAACACATGAAGTATTAATAAATAGTCTTATATCAAGATTTTCGAAAAATCCTGTTTAAAAGTGATTTTTTTTTAACATCTCGAACTCCGAAAACGACCAAAAAATTCATACAAAGGGGAATATTGAAAAATTGAGTACTGCGTATTTATGGTCCTACAGCAATATTTTACGTTTTTCTAACAATTCGATTTCAAAATCTTGGTTTTCTTTGGACTAAACACTTCATTGAACGATTCTGGTAGGAATTTTGGAAAAAATAAAACCGAAAATAGCATCAAGAGGTTGTAATCTACCGAAATATCTTTTTAGGTAATTTTGAAAGTTAATCGAGCGAAGACCAAAATTTTGGTAAAAACGGAGGGAAAATTGGCCTTTTGAAAAAGTTGTCAAAAATCTAAAAAAAATTCTGGGATCTAGATCTCGACGTGCTGATTCTACAAATAGGTATAGCGTGTTTATGGTTCTGAAGCAAATTTTAGAAATACTAAGTGAAAAAATCCATTTGAAAATATTTTTTTAAATAACTCGAAAGCATGAAAAAACGTCAAAAAGTACATAGGACTAGTATTGAAAAAACTGAAATTTTTCAAAAGTTGCCAAAAAATCCTCAAAAAATTCTTGTATGTAGATCCCTACAGGCTGATTCGAAAAACACAAAGTTTTAATGCTTCCCGAACAAAATTTTCGAAAATTGCCCTTTGATGATTTTTTTTTAATACCTCGAAAACTTGAAAGAAGTAAAATATTTCTTTTTAAAATATTTTTTTAAATAACTCGAAAGAATGAAAAAATGTCAAAAAGCACATAGGAGGAGTACTGAAAAACTGAAATTTTTAAAAGTTGCGGAAAATACCTCAAAAAATTCTTGTATATAGATCCCTACAGGCTGATTCTAACATCAAAAATTTTTCATGGTTCCCGAACAATAATTTCAAAAATTTGTTTTGAAAATGTTTTTCTTTTTAATACCTGGAAAGCTCGATAAAAACTCAAAAAATATATACGGACGAGTATTGAAAAACTGAAATTTTTGAAAAGTTGCCAAAAAATCCTCAAAAAATTCTGTGAAATAGATCCCTACAGGCTGATTCGAAAAACGCAAAGTTTTAATGGTTCGCAAAAAGATTGTCGAAAAGTTCGCTTTAAAAATGTTCTTTTTTAATAGCACGAGAATTTGAAAAAAGTTAAAAAAGTGAAAAAATGCATTCGGGGTTACTGTAAAATTGTGATTTCTAAAAAGGTACCTAAAAATCCTCAAAAAGTCTGGGATATAGATGTCCGAGGAACTGTTTCGAAACACATGAAGTATTAATAAATAGACTCATATCAAGATTTACGAAAAATCCTGTTTAAAAATGAAATTTTTTAAGCATCTCGAACTCTGAAAATGAACAAAAAATTCGTACAAAGGGGAGTATTGAAAAATTGAGTACTGCGTATTTATGGTCCTACAGCAATATTTTACGTTTTTCGAACAATTCGATTTCTTTGGACTAAAAATTTTATTGAACGATTCTGGTAGGAATTTTGGAAAAAATAAAACCGAAAATAGCATCAAGAGGTTGTAATCTACCGAAAAATCTGTTTAGGTAATTTTGAAAGTTAATCGAGTTAAGTTGTCTAAAAATCTACGAAAAATTCTGAGATCTAGATCTCGACGTGCTGATTCTACAAATATAGCGTGTTTATGGTTCTGAAGCAAATTTTAGAAGTACTAAAAGTGAAAAAATCCATTTGAAAATCTTTTTTTAAATAACTCGAAAGCATGAAAAAACGTCAAAAAGTACATAGGACGAGTATTGAAAAAACTGAAATGTTTCAAAAGTTGCCAAAAATCCTCAAAAAATTCTTGTATGTAGATCCCTACAGGTTGATTCGAAAAACACAGTGTTTTAATGGTTCCCGAACAAGATTTTCGAAGAATTCCCTTTGATAATTTTTTTTAATAACTCGAAAACTCGAAAGAAGTAAAAAAATCCGTTTTAAAATATTTTTCTAAATAACTCGAAGCACGAAAAAACGTCAAAAAATATTATATTCAATGTGAGTATTGCAAAACTGAAATTTTTAAAAGTTGCCGAAAAATCCTCAAAAAATTCTGAAAACACAAAGTTTAATGGTTCGCGAACAAGATTTCCGAAAAATTTGGTTTGAAAACTTTTTTTTGATACCTCGAAAACTCGAAAAAAGAAAAAAATCCGTTTGAAAAGGTTTTTTTAAATAAACTCAAAAGCTCGAAAAAAGCTCAAAAAATACATTTGGACGAGTAATGAAAAACTGAAATTTTTGAAAAGTTGCCAAAAAACCTCAAAAAATTATACAGGCTGATTTGAAAAACACAAAGTTTTAATGGTTCCCAAACAGATTTTCAAAAAATCTGCTTTGAAAAAAATTTTTTTTTAATAATACGAGAGTTCGAAAAATGGTAAAAAGGTGAAAAAATGCATACGGGGATAATGAAAAATCGGAATTTTTAAAAAGTCCTCAAAAATTCTGGGATAGAGATCTCCGAGGAGCTATTTGGAAAAACGTGAAGTGTTAAGAATCTCATATCAAGATTTTCAAAAAATCATGTTTAAAAATGAAATTTTTAAATATCTCGGACGCGGAAAACGGCCAAAAAATTCATACAAAGTCGAGTATAGAAAAATTGAGATTTTTAAAAAGATCCTCAGAAGATTCTGCGATGTAGATATAGAAAAATGAAATTTGTATTATAACATTTTGGAATTTAATTTTGAAACTACAAATCTGAATGCTCTGAAATCTTGCAAATGTTTTAAGGATATCGTACTCATGCTAAATCATTAATCAAATTTTATCCGTTTCCACTTCCAAAAATTGATTTTACTTTTACTTATACTGGGTAACTCAAAAAAATTAATTAATGAGGCAATCTATTTATTGGTCAATCAAATCAACTTTGGAAATTCAGTGTTGTTATTGTTAGTATGACACTGTATCTACCCAAATGGCCTTCTGTTGAAAATTGTGGAATAGATCTCGATATACTGATATTTTACAAATATTCGATTTGAAAATATTTTTTTTATTTAATACTAAAAACTTCATTTAACACTAAAAATTTCATTTGGCGATTCTGGTAAGAGTTTCTGAAGAAATAAAGCCGAAAATAACTTCTAGGGGTCAAAATCTACAGAAAAATTACTAATTAAGGCCATTTTCAAAGAAAAAACTGCTTTTGAAAAAGTTGTCCAAAAGTCAACAAAAAATGTTGGAATATAGATTTTGACGTACTGATTCCAAAAATTCCAAAAATATAGCGTAATATTTTAGAAAAATTCGATTTCAAAATCTTGGTGGTTTTTTTTGGACTAAATATTTCATTAGACGATTCTGTTAGAAATTTTCGAAAAATCTCTTTAAGTAATTTTGAAATTTAATCGAGAAAAGGCCGCAATTTTCCTAAAAGCGAAGGGAATACTGAAAATATGGCCGTTTGAACAAGTTGTCTGAAAATCTACAAAAAATTCTGGGATATAGATCTCGACGCACTGATTCGGCATGGTCCTGAAGCAATATTTTCGAAATATTCAGCATGAAATTTGAAAAATTGTCATATTTCGTTGGACGATTTTGGAAAACTTGCAGTAACCTTCGAAGAAATGAAGCGGAAAATAACTTCTGGAGAGATCTACATAAAAAAATATTTAGATCAATTTCAAATCTGGTCGAGAAAAGATCGAAATTTTCATGAGGGGAGGAAATATTAAAATAGTGAGCTTTTGAAAAAGTCATATAAAAATCTACAAAAAATTCTAGGATATAGATCTCGACGTCCTGATTCCAAAAATATAGCCTGTTAATGGTCCTGGGGAATATTTTAGAAATATTCGGTTTGAAATTCGATTACCATAAAATTTTATTATGGAAAACTCACGTGTATTCTAGAGTTGAGATTCTCCAAAGAACCTTGAAAAGGAGATAAAACATTTTTGATCGACGAGCTAATTCGAAAAACTTTTGTTTCCAGATCAAAATTTTCGAAAAATTCGATTTGAAAATTATTATTTTTTTTAACTCGTAAGGTCAAAAAAGGTCAAAAAATGCATATCTTGCGAGCTGAAAAAACAATAAAGAAATTCATATTCAAAAATCGAAACTTTTGAAAAGTTGCCAAAACATTCTCAAAAAATTCTAGGATATGAGATTTTCAAAAAATTTGATTTAAAAATGGTTACGGGACGGTAGTAAACAATTGCAATTGAGATTTTTGAAAAGTTGACAAAAAATCCTTAAAATATTCACAGATATCGACAAGCTGATTCGAAAAACATAAATTGTCAATCAAGATTATTGAAAAATTCGGTTCGAAGGTGACATTTTTCAGTATTTCGAAAGCCTCAAAATACGATCAAAAAAACCATACAGCGGAATTAAAATGTTAAAAAATCCTTACAAAATTCTTTGGTATAGATTTCGACCAGCTGATTTGAAAGACATAAAGTGTCAATGGTTCCGGAAGAAGATGGTCGAAAAATTTCTTTCGAAAGTGACATTTTTTTAATATCTCAAAAATCAATCCAAAAATTCATATTAAAATATTCAAATTAAAACATTTAAATTTTTGAAAGGTTGCTAAAAGAGCGAATTCGAAAAACAAAGTGTTGATGGTTTCTAGTCAAAATCTTCGAAAAATTCGGTTTGAAAATAACTAAACTGCGCGTCAAAAGTTAAAGATATCGTAATTAATATAATTTATACCTACTCAATTGTTTGGATAATTATAAAAAAAAATCTAATAATGAACTGAAGCGCAGTTGATTTTTAGATAACTCCAAGGCTCGAAAAAAGGTCAAAAAATTCATACGACGCGATATTGAAAAATTGGGATTTTTGAAAGGTTGCCTAAAAATCCTCAAAAGAATCTCGATGAGCTCACTCTAAAAACATAAATTGTTAATAATCCTCTACCAAGATTTTTATTACGTCTTAATTAACGTTGGTTTCTTACTGACTATGTGTACTTAATATTTAATTGTCGCACGTAATCACTTTTAGTATCGTTAATAAAATGCATTAAAAATTTCCTTGAACGATTCTGGTAGAAATTTTCGAAAAGATAAAATCGAAAATAGCATCGAGAGGTCGAAATCTACCGAAAAATAAGAGCGAAATTTTCATAAAAGCGGAGGAAATATTGAAATATTGTCTAAGAAAATTCTGGGATGTAGATCTCGACGTACTAAATCGACAAAAGCGTCTTTATGTTCCTGAAGCAATATTTTAGAAATATTGAGTGTAAAATTGTCAAATTTCGTGGGCGATTTTGGAAAAATGGTAGTAGTTTTCGACGAAATGAAGCCGAAAATAACTTCTGGAGATCTAAATCTGCAAAAAAAAAGTTGTTGTGGAACGTGGACGTCTATCTATTTCAAGAATTTTCAGGTTAGATTTCAACATTTCTGTCAAAAATGCGGGGAAATTACTTTCTATACAAAAATTTTGAACCAAACATAACCTTTTTAAACACAAAATTTTCTCAAAATGTTGTCTTTTCTGGAAAATGCAACCAAATATTTTGCTAATATTTTTGCACAAAATTGCAACAGGAAACAGTCTCGTCAGGTTTTAACTACTTCCGCTATCATAATTAGACGCTCTAACAGTAAATCCCAGAACCACTCCAAAACGAAATGTGTCCTTTATAAATAATGCATGAAGTCACTGCTGCAAGGCCACCAAAACAGACGTCGCTATCTTTTGTAGTAAAATTAATAATGCGGAACACTCCCAACTCGGCATTAGTAAAAGCCGCATACTCCAACGGATTATATAACCAGAAAAAAACCGAACTAACCTCCTGAGGCCTCATAATACTCGACGAAGACCCCATGATGTCGCTTTTCCCCTACAATATACGAAAAACCATCACTTCCAACACAACCAAAAAAAAACAACCACAAACTACGTCAAAACACAAAAAAAAAACACTAAAAAAAATTATCACACTTGTAGACAAAAACCGCGAAAAACCACTAAAGCTCTACGTAGTGTGCTTACACCCGCGAGTGCGCTCTACAAGTGGTAAAAAAGCACAACAAACATCGGCAAATTCGCGCCAGTTCTGTACGCAGCGGAAATATTCTGGGTTTTGAATCGCAACATCAGTTCAACATATTCGGTTTGACGAAGGTCACAGTACGAAAGTCCAGAGCGTTTGAGTTATTTGCATCGGAATGGGTTCCGGGGAGTGCGGGACCTGGAGGTGCCCAGGTCTTGGGAACACTGCGCCGGTGAACTGCATGGGAGCGTAATGGAGGCATGGGTCATGCCCCAGTTATGACCTATTGTTGGGTTGGACCAGACTGGGTCATGGGTGCGACATAATAGAAGAAAGATCTGGGTTATTTATAGCGGGACGAGGCGGCGTGGTGTTGTGTAAGAATACGATCAGTGGTTTACATGTGGTTGTTGTTTGGGTTCACGTGTTTGAACACGTGGTGCGGAAGATTTTTTGAAGAGTTTTCACTCCGTGTAGAATCTTTGAAAAAAATATTGAAAGAAGCAAGTTTTTATTTTATTTGCTAAAAAGGTTTTTTTTTTAAATACCTCTAAAGCTCAGAAAAGATCAAACAATTGGTTTAAAACTGATATTTTTTAGTTCTAAAGCTCGAAAAAGCTCAAAAAAAAGACCTCGATGCGGTGATTAAAAACACATAAATTCTCAAAGATTGCAGACAAAGATTTTCGAAAAATTCGGTTTGAAAATGACATTTTTTAATATCAAGAGTGCTCGAAAAATTATAAAAAAATTCATGCTGGGGAACAAAAGAATTACATTTTTTGAAAAATTGCCAAAACAATTCTCAAAAATTCTTTGAAATAGATCTCGAAGAACTGATTGGAAAAACCTAAAGGATTCCCGAATAATATTTTCGGAATATTTGTTTTGAAAATGATTTTTTGTTTTTAAATAACACGAAAGTTCGAAAAAAGGTTAGAAAATATTATTGAAAAAATCCGATTTTGGAAAAGTTACCAAAATATCCTCGAAAAAACAAAGTGATAATGTTTTCACATCAAGATTTTCAAAAATTCGATTTGCCATTTTTTTTTATATTTTCGGAAGTTCGATAAAACGTCAAAAATGCATATGTGGAAGAATTAGAAAAATTGAATTTTTTGAAAAGATAGCCAGCAATCCTCAAAAAATGCTGAGATTTGTTACTGGTTTACAAAAAAAAAACGAGAAGAGATGAAATTTTTGAAAAGTTACCAAAAATCCTCTTGACATTTAAAAAATGACATTTTTTAATATCAAAAAAGGTTGAAAAATCATAAAAGAATACATTCTGGGGAACAAAAGATTTAAATTTCGTGAAAAGTTGCCATAAAAATTCTCAAAAATTCTTTGAAATAGATCTCGAAGAACTGATTGGAAAAACCTAAAGCATTACCGAACAAGACTTTTGGAATATTTGTTTTGAAAATGATTTTTTGTTTTTAAATAACACGAAAGTTCGAAAAAAAGGTCAGAAAATACTATTGAAAAAATCCGATTTTGGAAAAGTTACCAAAAAATCCTCGAAAAAACAAAGTGTTAATGTTTCCACATCAAAATTTTCAAAAATTTGATTTGTCATTTTTTTTATATTTTCGGAAGTTCGATAAAACGTCAAAAATGCATATGTGGAAGTATTAGAAAAATTGAATTTTTTGAAAAGATAGCCAACAATCCTCAAAAAATGCTGGGATTTGTTACTAGTTTCAAAAAAAAACGAGAAGAGATGAAATTTTTGAAAAGTTGCCAAAAATCCTCAAAATATTCTTTGAAATAAGTAGATTTCGAAAAGCTGATTCGAAAAACAAAGTATTAATGGTTTCCAAATAAGATTTTCGATTTGAAAATATTTTTTTTTAATAACACGACAGTTCGAAAAAATACTATTGAAAAACTGATTTTTGAAAAGTTACCAAAAAATCTTCAAAAATTTGAGGATGTAGATGTTGAGGAGCTAATTCGAAAAACACAAAGTGTTAATGTTTCCAGATCAAAATTTTCGAAAAATTCGCTTTGACAATTATTTTTTTTAAATAACTAGATAAAGCTCCGAAAAAGGTACAAAAATGCAGATGGGAAACTATTAGAAAAATTGCAATTTTTGAAAAGATAGCTAGCAATCCTCAAAAAATTCTGAGATATATTATTGATTTAAGAAAAAAAACGGGACAAGATGAGCAAATCACGAAATTTTTGAAAAGTTGCCAAAAAATACTCAAAAAATTCTGGAATATAGATCTCGACGAGCTGATTCGAAAAGCATGAGTGTTAATGATCCCATGTCAAGATTTTCCAAAAATCCTATTTGAAAATGGAATTATTCAAATTTCTCGGGGAGAGGGAATTGAAAAATCGAGATTTTAGAAAAGATAACAAGAAAATAATAAAAAAATTCTGGGATATAATATCTCGACGAGCAAACAAGATTTTCGAAATATTCGATTTGAAAATTATTTTTTTTTTAAAGAACACAATTCGAAAAAATACTATTGAAAAACTGATTTTTGAAAAGTTACCAATCTTATCTTGGCAAGTACTAGCCCACCCACCCACCCTATATTTTCTTACAGGATATGTGATTTGCTAAAATTCGTTTTATCTTAGCATGTAGTAGGCCCGCCCACCCGCCCTCTATTTTCTTAGAAGGTATGTGATTCGCCAAAATAAGTCTTATCAAGCAAGTACTAACAAAAAAATTAGAAATTGAAAATTATAAAAAGAAAAATAGAAAAATCCAAAATGTGAGAAATTAAAAATTGAAAACTCGAGAAATTGCGAAAGGAAAAATTGCAAAATCTGAAAACTGAAACATCCAATAGTTGGAAAATTCAAAAACTGAAAAATTTAAAAATGAAAACTCGAAGATTCGCATATCTTAAAAATGGAAAAAAAAAATGAAAAATTGAAAAATTGAAAAATTGCAAATCGAAAAATAAAGGAAACGAGAAACTGAAAAAAATAAAATCGAAACACTGAAAAATCGAATAAGTGAAAAAATAACACAAATAACAAACCGAAAAATTTAAAAATATAAAAATTGAAAAAATCAGAAGCTGCAAAATTGAAAATTTTAAACTTGAAAACTCGAAAAATTGCAAATAGAAAAACTGAAAAAAAAAAGAAAAATTGAAGAATTGAAAAATTCAAGCAAAAAATCGAGGCGAGGGAAGTTCTGTCGAAATAATGTTCGACCAATTTTTTAAACCAACAAATGTTTTTTTTTAATGTTAAACCTTCTGGGAAGTTCCAACTGTCTTTTTTAAAAATATATAACCTTCTCGGGGGCGACAATTTTTTTTTTTTAATGTGAAACCTTCTCGGGAGTTCCAAATGTCTTTGTTGAAAATGTAAAACCTTCTTGGGGGCCCCAAATGTCTTTTTTTAATGTGTGAGTTTAGGTACTCTAAAGAGTCTTATAAGCAAGGAGTAGCCCCGCCCAGCGACCCCCTCTTCATTCCAGTGACTACTCTTAATAAAGTCAAAAAATGAGAAATTCAAAATTGAAAACTCAAGAAATTGTAAATGGAAAAATCGCAAAATCTGAACCTGAAACATCCAATAGTAAACTGAAAAAATTAAAATTGAAAAAACAAAAAAATAAAATCTAAACACTGAAAAATCGAATAAGTGAAAAAATAACGAAAATAAAAAACGGAAAAATTTTAAAATATAAAAATTGAAAAAATCAAAAGTCGGAAAACCGAAGATTTTAAAGTTGAAAACTCGAAAAATTGCAAATCGAAAAACTGAAGAAACAAAATGAAAAATTCACGCAAAAAATCGATCGAATGATCCCATGTCCAGATTTTCGAAAAATTCTATTTGAAAATAAGATTATTGGAATTTCTCGGGGAGAGATATTGAAAAATCGAGATTTTAGAAAAGGTGACAAGAAAATGATAAAAAAATTCTGGGTTATAAATCTCGACAAGCTGATTTGAAAAACATAAATTGTCAATACTCCCGGACCAAGATTTTCGAAACATTCTGTATGAAAACGTTTTTGTTTTAATACCTCGAGAGTTCGAGACATGAGACATTAAAAAAATTCCAAAAAATTCTAGGATACAGATCTCAACGGGCTGATTCGAAAAGCATAAATTGTCAATGGTACCAGATCCAAGAATTTCTAAAAACTCGATTTGAAACTGCCATTTTTAACATCTTGCGAGCTGAAAAAGCAATAAAAAAAATCATTTTTTTGAAAAGTTGCCAAAAGATTGTAGGAATTAAATTTCGACGCTCTGATTCGAAAAATCCAAAGTGTTAATATTTCTAAATCAAGATTTAAAAAAAATTCATATTGAAAAATCGAAATTTTTGAAAAGTTTCCAAAAAATTCTGGGTTAAGACTTTCAAAAAATTCGATGTAAAAATGATTACGGGACGGTATTAAATATTTGAGATTTTTGAAAAGTTGACAAAAATACCCAAAAGATTCTGAGAATTAACACAGATATCGACGAAATGATTCGAAAAACATAAACTGTCAATCAGGATTTTCGAAAAATTCGTTTTAAATTTTTTCAGTATCTCGAAACCGTGAAAAACGACCAAAAAATTCATACAGCGGTATTAAAAAGTTGCCAGAAAATCCTCACAAAATTCTTTGATATAGATTTCGACCAGCTAATTTGAAAAATATAAGGTGTGAATGGTTCCCGAAAAATTCCTTTTGAAAGCGATATTTTTTTAATATCTCGAAAAACGATGTAAATTAATTCATATTAAAAATTGAAATTTTTGACAACTTGCCAAAAATCCTCAAAATATTCTTTGAAATAGATTTCGAAAAGCTGATCCAAAAAACAAAGTGTTAATGGTCCCAAACAAGATTTTCGAAATATTCGATTTGAAAATGATTTTTTTTTAATAAGACGACAGTTCGAAAAAATACTATTGAAAAACTGATTTTTGAAAAGTTACCAATCTTATCTTGGCAAGTGCTAGCCCCGCCCACCCGCCCTCTATCTTCTTAGAGGGTGTATGATTTGCCAAAAATGGAAAAGTCCAAAAGAGAAATTAAAAATAGAAAACTAGAGAAATAAATAAAAAATAAATTCGAAAGACTGAAAAATCGAATAACTGAAAAAATAACGAAAATAGAAAACGGAAAAATTTAAAGATATAAAAATTGAAAAAATCAAAATTTGGAAAACTGAAGATTTTAAACTTGAAAACTCGAAAAATTGCAAATCGAAAAACTGAAGGAACTAAATAAAAAATTCAAGCAAAAAATCGAGCAGAGGTGTTAATGATACCATGTCTAGATTTTCGAAAAAATCTATTTGAAAATGAAATTATTGGAATTTCTCGGGGAGAGGTATTGAGAAATCGAGAATTTAGAAAAGGTGACAAGAAAATGATAAAAAAATTCTGAGAAGTAAATCTCCACGATAATGTTTTTTCTAATATCTCGAGAGCTTCAGGCACGATAAAAATATTCATACGTACTGAATAATAAAAAAATTTGTAAAAAGTCGCCAAAAAATTCTCAAAAAATCCTGGGATATATATCTCGAGGAGGTGATTCGAAAAACATAAATTATCAGTGCTCCCGGACTCAAGAATTTCGAAAAATTCGATTTGAAACTGAGATTTTTAATATCTTGGGAGCTGGCAAAACAATAAAAAAATCATAATGAAAAATCGAAATTTAAAAGTTGCTAAAAAATTCCCAAGAAATTATGGGATACAAAATTCAATTTAAAAATTATTCCGGAACGGTATTAAACAATTCAGATTTTTGAAAAGATTCTGAGATATTGTCGATCAAGATTTTCGAAAAATTCGACCAGCTGATTTGAAAAATATCAAGTGTCGATGGTTCTCGATATTCGACAAATTCCTTTTGCAAGTGACTTTTTTTAATATCTCGAAAAGCGATCCAAAAATTCATATTATAAAATTTAAACTTTTGAAAAGTTGCGAAAAATCCTCATTGAAAATTACTATTTTTAGATAACTCCAGGACTCGAAAAAAGGTAAAAAGATTTATATGATGCGGTATTAAAAAATTGGGATTTTTGGAAAGTTGCCTAAAAATCCGCAAAATAATCTGCATTAAAAACTGTGAGCGCAAATTTAATCTTTGATTTATGCTTTTAATACTCATATTATTTATCCAACAACTGTTCATTTTGACTTATACGAAAATTCATCGCTTATACTTATAATTAATTTTGGCGGAGGTGCCGGTTCTGCGCACATTTAAACCCCTCACATAAAAAAAATCATTTAACTAACCTAAAATTAGCCACACTTGTTGTACAAACGCTTTATTATACACATCAAAAGAGCAAAAAAACACGACCAAAAACAGCCATCGATTTGTGAAAATTTGTCTTTGATTGCATGTTTCATTGCTCTCTCGGTTTGAACATGTTCAAAATTACATACATTAACAATATTAATAATATTAATAATAATATCGATGTCAGATATGAAATATGTATTTAAGTACATACCTAATTCATAAACGTACATGTGCTTGTTTATTAAATAGAGACGAGGTAGATCTGGACATAAATTAATCATAAAATATGTAGCTGCGGCCTAAAAGGTAAATTATACATATATCAGGAGAAGAAAGGCTAGTAGGAAGTATTTTAATGTGTAAGTTGTTGCCCTTGTGCCTTTTTCGCATTTTCTATAAACTCCATCAGACCTCGAGACATATAGTATGGTCTTGATATACCGTCATTCATGACTGAATCCTCACAAAAGCATATGAAGAGACTATCAATTATGGTCTAGAAATATTGATAATTTATTAATAGTGCTACTGTGTTAAGTTAACTCACTTGAAAAGTGCCAAATATTATGTAAACAATGACCAAATTTATTATGAAACACGTGACAGTACCTTGTATTCCCGCCGGACCCACATCCTGAAAAAAAAGCAACCGGTGTATACTTGTGTTATAAATAGGTTATAAACTTACCATAAAGAGCGCAAAGGAAACTGCTGTGGCGAGTAGAGTGATAAGCATTATAATCATTGCCAAAATAAAATCTCCAACACAGTTTATAGCGAAAATGTTGCCAATATTTGCTAGAAGTAATTTTGTAGCACGTTTGGCCGATCTCAGAAAAGACTGTCCATGAATTGCTAAAACATAAATATTATTGAACTACTAGCAGTTTGTTTTACTAACCTGTCTGTATATATGAATTTCCAGACAAAAAGTTGAGAAGTATATCGACATTGTTGCAGCAGAAATGCATGCAAAACCTACAGCACGCATTTCTGAAAAACATCTTCAGAAGCGCTTTCACTACGGCGAACAGCGTCAGCAAGAAAGACCCAAAAGCGATAGTACCGAGATGGTACCTCACTGTAACTTTAAAGCTAGACCAAACTGGAGAATCTAACTGATCTTTATTTCTGAAACACGAGCATTGTTATCGTAACATACGTTAATAAAATTTGTCGTACTTGGAAAAGTACCACCGTGCCACACCTCCAGAGATGGTCATATACTGAATTCCTGCCACAAATCGCATAGCCCAACTGGCAACGATTATATTGAAAATGATTGTGAAAATTGCGACTGCGGACAGTTCGTACTTGTACATATTTTCGTCGCGCTTTGTGAGTTGTCGAAAGAAGAACATCCGGAAGGTGGTGACAATAGCTGCTACAAACACAACAATTTGGATGAAAGAAGTCTGAAATTTGGGTTTTAGTACCAAAGTGGTTTTAAATGCGGTACTTACGAAAATTGGGAAAAACACTACTAGGGGCATAGCAGCAAGAACTTTGGTTGTTTCTTTGTATAATTGAATAACCAAACCTACTCTCTTAAATATAACTATAAATATTATCAGTATTATCACAACAAAAATTGTCCAAACAAGAATCGGTAGCAGGGAGATTGCATATTTTTGAAAGTACAAAATCCTGAAGAAAAAAAATTAGAAAATTTTCATACGTTAGTACTATCATACCATAAAAATCCTGTAGCAGCTAACAAAACCAGCACCGAAAAAATCAAAATTCCCCACACAAATGGAGCTGGAGCAAACCTCAACAGTACCAGTGTGATTACACCTAAAGCTGTATCAACAATCAAAAATTTAACAAAAAATTAAAGAAATTCTAACCGATTGTAAAGAATATCGCCAAGAGGTACCTCCACCAAATGCTGTTCTTGGTCGTGAAAACCTTCTACAATCAGAATGCAATAGGTACTAACAAAAACAACGCGAATTTAACGTACCGATATATCAAAGCTATTTGCCCGAAATTGATTTTCCTCATTCCAGAAATCGTTCGTCGGTTGTAGCACGCTCAATTTGTTCTCGAATTGATTTTGTGAAACACATTCACGTTTTTCATTGACATATCTGAAAAACAAGGTTTTGGGTTTCAAAATGGTGCTACCTGAACTCACCTATTAAGTGTGAAATCTTGACCAGAGCAAGGAACACCGTCGATTGTGGGGTTTTTGAGTCCACAGAAGTTTCCGCAGTTGTCACTGTAGTGAGTTAGGTGTCTAGAATCCGCATTGACCAAGGTGTACACTAGGAAAGGTATCTACAAAAAAATGTGCAACTTTGCTATAGTTGTCCGGAATCAATATATCAAGTTCCCTAAATTTCCTTACCAAAATCAGTATGGCAATTCCAAAAATAACGAATCCTTTCTTATCCGTCACAGTCCTATTTTCCGGTCGTGCGGGCACTTCCACATTTTCGATGGAAGTGTTCAGTTTCCTGAAATCCACGAGCTGAAACATCATTGCTTGTTCAGATCTTTTTTAATTATAGTAATTAATTGATGACATTGGTTAACAAGTTGTGATTAAATACTTTTCGCAGTTTTCAGCATAAATATTGTGGCTGAGAACGGGTCACTAAAAATAGACATGATGTTTGAAGATCGTCCGAGCCTATAAAACAAATTTAGATTATTTTGAGTTACTAAAGCGGTAAGAGTTTATCTGTAAAAAGCGGCAGGAATAATTGGCGTTACAGAAACTCCTTGAAACGAAATCTATAAATAAATCTTCATTACATTATTTTGTTTTGGGTGTGGTTAATCAACAGTGCAAAATCGTGCACGACCTAAAATCTTGCGTGTAGCCGAACAAATAGCACTTCAGAGGGTGGAAATAATGCTCTTATAATTAAATTAGTAAATTTTGAGGTTTTAAAATAATGAATTTCAGTGATGCTACATCCTATTTTTTTTTTTCGAAAATGCATAACGTGATAATAAATACGAGAAAATAAAGTCCAATTTTGAAAAATATCATAAAGGAAAAAAATGTTTCAAATTTCTCTTAACTAAGCATGAATAAAGGTTTAAACAATTACATAACTAGAAAAACATACTGACCTCCTCAGGTCTCACAGTACTCAACGAAGACCCCATGGTGCCGCCTCTTCTCTACAATATACGAAAAAACATCATTTCCAGCACAGACAAAAGCACCCACAAACTAAAACCAAACTCGATAGCAAAACACAAAAAAAATATCACCCAAGTGCACAACAAAGTGCGAAAAACAACCAATGGTATAAAGAGTCCTTACACCCACGAATGCGTCCTACAAGTGGTAAAAAAGCACAACAAACACTGACGGCAAGTTCGCGCCAGTTCTACGCAGCTGAAATTTCTCAGATTCGAAACACAACATCATTTTAACAATAAATTCGCTTAGTAATGTAAACTTGTAATGGGGTCGTTACACCAAAAGTTTCAGCCCTTAAATGTGGTTCCTGTTGTTTGTATTTCAACGGTGAATGGGTGGGAATTGACAAACAAGATTTAATTTTGTTAAAATCATTAAATGGGCGTTCTTGGAACTTCAATGATTGTCGTTTGCCCTCTAAAACCCCTGGTGATTTCAATACTCCTAATTATGCAAGCAGCTATATTGACTTTTTTTGTGGGGAACCATTAAAAAATTTCAATTTTAAAAAAGTTGTCTAAAAATTATGAAAAAATTCAGGAACGTGGATCTCAACACGCTGATTCTATAAAATAGCACGTTGATGGTCACGAAGCAAGATTTTCGACAAAGTCGCTGCGAAATGTGAATTTTTGAAAATTTCAAAAATTTCGAAATTTCAACGGTCGATTCTAGAAAAACGGTTGCAGGTATAAAAAAGTCGAAGCCGGATTTGAGTTCTTGAGCTCGAAATCTACAAGAAAATATATTTGATTGAGTTTCGAAAATGTCAAAATTTTTGCGAAATTTGAAGCGTTAAAAAATTTCAGTTTTAAAAAAGTTGTCTAAAAATTATGAAAAAATTCAGGGACGTAGATCTCGACACGCTGATTCCAAAATTATAGCATGTTGATGGTCACAAAGCAAGATTTACGAAAAAATCGCTGCGAAATGCGAATTTTTGAAAATTTCAAAAATTTCGAAATTTCAACGGTCGATTCTGGAAAAACGGTTGCAGGTATAAAAAAGTCGAAGCCGGATTTGAGTTCTAAAGCTCGAAATCTAAAAGAAAATGTATTTGGTTGAGTTTCGAAAATGTCAAAATTTTTGCGAAATTTAAAGAAGGGGAGATCATTTAAAATTTCAATTTTAAAAAGTTGTCTAAAAACTATGAAAAAATTCAGGGACGTAGATCTCGACACGCTGATTCCAAAAATATAGCATGTTGATGGTCACGAAGCAACATTTTCGAAAAAATCGCTACGAAATCCGAATTTTTGAAAATTTCAAAAATTTCTAAATTTCAACGGAAGATTCTGGAAAAACGGTTGCAGTTATCCAAAAACCGAAGCCGGATTTGAGTTCAGGAGCTCGAAATCTACAAGAAAATGTGATTAGTTGAGTTTCGAAAATGTCAAAATTTTTGCGAATTTTGAAGGTGGGACCATTAAAAAATTTCAATTTTAAAAAAGTTGTCTAACAATTATGAAAAAATTCAGGAACGTAGATCTCAACACGCTGATTCCATAAAATGGCATGTTGATGGTCACGAAGCAAGATTTTCGACAAAGTCGCTGCGAAAGGTGAATTTTTGAAAATTTCAAAAATTTCGAAATTTCAACGGTCAATTTTGGAAATACTGTTGCAGGTATAAAAAAACCGAAGCCGGATTTGAGTTCTAGAGCTCGAAATCTACAAGAAAATGTGATTAGTTGAGTTTCGAAAATGTCAAAATTTTTGAGAAATTTGAAGAAGGGGGGACCATTAAATAATTTCAATTTTGAAAATTTGTCTGAAAACTATGAAAAAATTCAGGGACGTAGATCCCGACACGCTGATTCCAAAAATATAGCATGTTGATGGTCACGAACCAACATTTTCGAAAAAATCGCTGTGAATTCCGAATTTTTGAAAATTTCAAAAATTTCGAAATTTCAACTGTCCATTCTGGAAAAATGGTTGCAGGTTTCAAAAAACCGAAGCCGGATTTGAGTTCTAGAGATCGAAATCTACAAGAAAATGTGATTAGTTGAGTTTCGAAAATGTCTAAATTTTTCCGAAATTTGAAGAAGGGGGGACCATTAAAAAATTTCAATTTTAAAAAAGTTGTCTAATAATCATGAAAAAACTCAGGAACGTAGATCTCAACACGCTGATTCCATAAAATAGCATGTTGATGGTCACGAAGCAAGATTTTCGACAAAGTCGCTGCGAAATGCGAATTTTTGAAAATTTCAAAAATTTCGAAATTTCAACGGTCGATTCTGGAAAAACGGTTGCAGTTATCCAAAAACCGAAGCCGGATTTGAGTTCTAGAGCTCGAAATCTACAAGAAAATGTTTTTGGTTGAGTTTCGAAAATGTCAAAATTTTTGCGAAATTTGAAGAAGGGGGGAGGGACCATTAAAAAATTTCAGTTTTAAAAAAGTTGTCTAAAAATTATGAAAAAATTCAGGAACGTAGATCTTAACACACTGATTCCATAAAAGAGCATGTTGATGGTCACGAAGCAAGATTTTCGACAAAGTCGCCGCGAAATGCGAATTTTTGAAAATTTCGAAAATTTCGAAATTTCAACGGTCGATTCTGGAAAAACGGTTGCAGGTATAAAAAAGTCGAAGCCGGATTTGAGTTCTAGAGCTCGAAGTCTACAAGAAAATGTGACTAGTTGAGTTTCGAAAATGTCAAAATTTTTGCGAATTTTGAAGAAGGGGGAACCATTAAGAAATTTCAATTTTAAAAAAGTTGTCTAAAAATTATGAAAAAATTCAGGGACGTAGATCTTGACACGCTGATTCCAAAATTATAGCATATTGATGGTCACGAAGCAAAATTTTCGAAAAAATCGCTGCGAAACGCGAATTTTTGAAAATTCTAAAAATTTCAAATTTTTAACGATCGATTCTGGAAAAACGGTTGCAGGTATATAAAAACAGAAGCCTGATTTGAATTCTAGAACTCGAAATCTACAAGAAAATGTATTTAGTTGAGTTTCGAAAATGTCAAAATTTTTGCGAAATTTGAAGAAGGGGGGACCATTAAAAATTTTCAGTTTTAAAAAAGTTGTCTAAAAATTATGAAAAAATTCAAGAACGTAGATCTAACACGCTGATTCCATAAAAGAGCATGTTGATGGTCACGAAGCAAGATTTTCGACAAAGTCGCTGCGAAATGCGAATTTTTGAAAATTTCGAAAATTTCTAAATTTCAACGGTTGTTTCTGGAAAAACGGTTACAGGTATAAAAAAGTCGAAGCCGGATTTGAGTTCTAGAGCTCGAAATCTACAAGAAAATATATTTAGTTGAGTTTCGAAAATGTCAAAATTTTTGCGAAATTTGAAGAAGGGGGGACCATTTAAAATTTCAATTTTAAAAAGTTGTCTAAAAACTATGAAAAAATTCAGGGATGTAGATCCCGACTCGCCGATTAGAAAATTATAGCATGTTGATGGTCACGAAGCAACATTTTCGAAAAAATCGCTACGAAATCCGAATTTTTGAAAATTTCAAAAATTTCTAAATTTCAACGGAAGATTCTGGAAAAACGGTTGCAGTTATCCAAAAACCGAAGCCGGATTTGAGTTCAGGAGCTCGAAATCTACAAGAAAATGTGACTAGTTGAGTTTCGAAAATGTCAAAATTTTTGCGAATTTTGAAGAAGGTGGGACCATTAAAAAATTTCAATTTTAAAAAAGTTGTCTAACAATTATGAAAAAATTCAGGAACGTAGATCTCAACACGCTGATTCCATAAAATGGCATGTTGATGGTCACGAAGCAAGATTTTCGACAAAGTCGCTGCGAAAGGTGAATTTTTGAAAATTTCAAAAATTTCGAAATTTCAACGGTCAATTCTGGAAATACTGTTGCAGGTATAAAAAAACCGAAGCCGGATTTGAGTTCTAGACCTCGAAATCTACAAGAAAATGTGATTAGTTGAGTTTCGAAAATGCCAAAATTTTTGAGAAATTTGAAGAAGGGGGGACCATTAAATAATTTCAATTTTGAAAATTTGTCTGAAAACTATGAAAAAATTCAGGGACGTAGATCCCGACACGCTGATTCCAAAAATATAGCATGTTGATGGTCACGAACCAACATTTTCGAAAAAATCGCTGTGAATTCCGAATTTTTGAAAATTTCAAAAATTTCGAAATTTCAACTGTCCATTCTGGAAAAATGGTTGCAGGTTTCAAAAAACCGAAGACGGATTTGAGTTCTAGAGCTCGAAATCTACAAGAAAATGTATTTAGTTGAGTTTCGAAAATGTCTAAATTTTTCCGAAATTTGAAGAAGGGGGGACCATTAAAAAATTTCAATTTTAAAAAAGTTGTCTAATAATCATGAAAAAACTCAGGAACGTAGATCTCAACACGCTGATTCCATAAAATAGCATGTTGATGGTCACGAAGCAAGATTTTCGACAAAGTCGCTGCGAAATGCGAATTTTTGAATATTTCAAAAATTTCGAAATTTCAACGGTCGATTCTGGAAAAACGGTTGCAGTTATCCAAAAACCGAAGCCGGATTTGAGTTCTAGAGCTCGAAATCTACAAGAAAATGTTTTTGGTTGAGTTTCGAAAATGTCAAAATTTTTGCGAAATTTGAAGAAGGGGGGAGGGACCATTAAAAAATTTCAGTTTTAAAAAAGTTGTCTAAAAATTATGAAAAAATTCAGGAACGTAGATCTTAACACACTGATTCCATAAAAGAGCATGTTGATGGTCACGAAGCAAGATTTTCGACAAAGTCGCTGCGAAATGCGAATTTTTGAAAATTTCGAAAATTTCGAAATTTCAACGGTCGATTCTGGAAAAACGGTTGCAGGTATAAAAAAGTCTAAGCCGGATTTGAGTTCTAGAGCTCGAAATCTACAAGAAAATGTGACTAGTTGAGTTTCGAAAATGTCAAAATTTTTGCGAATTTTGAAGAAGGGGGAACCATTAAGAAATTTCAATTTTAAAAAAGTTGTCTAAAAATTATGAAAAAATTCAGGGACGTAGATCTTGACACGCTGATTCCAAAATTATAGCATGTTGATGGTCACGAAGCAAAATTTTCGAAAAAATCGCTGCGAAACGCGAATTTTTGAAAATTCTAAAAATTTCAAATTTTTAACGATCGATTCTCGAAAAACGGTTGCAGGTATATAAAAACAGAAGCCTGATTTGAATTCTAGAACTCGAAATCTACAAGAAAATGTATTTAGTTGAGTTTCGAAAATGTCAAAATTTTTGCGAAATTTGAAGAAGGGGGGACCATTAAAAATTTTCAGTTTTAAAAAAGTTGTCTAAAAATTATGAAAAAATTCAGGAACGTAGATCTAACACGCTGATTCCATAAAAGAGCATGTTGATGGTCACGAAGCAAGATTTTCGACAAAGTCGCTGCGAAATGCGAATTTTTGAAAATTTCGAAAATTTCGAAATTTCAACGGTCGATTCTGGAAAAACGGTTACAGGTATAAAAAAGTCGAAGCCGGATTTGAGTTCTAGAGCTCGAAATCTACAAGAAAATATATTTAGTTGAGTTTCGAAAATGTCAAAATTTTTGCGAAATTTGAAGAAGGGGGGACCATTTAAAATATCAATTTTAAAAAGTTGTCTAAAAACTATGAAAAAATTCAGGGATGTAGATCCCGACTCGCCGATTAGAAAATTATAGCATGTTGATGGTCACGAAGCAACATTTTCGAAAAAATCCCTGCGAAATCCGAATTTTTGAAAATTTCAATAATTTCAAAATTTCAACTGTCCATTCTGGAAAAATGGTTGCAGGTATCAAAAAACTGAAGTCGGATTTGAGTTCTAGAGCTCGAAATCTACAAGAACTTATAATTAGTTGAGTTTCGAAAATGTCAAAATTTTTGCGAAATTTGAAGAAGGGGGGACCATTAAAAAATTTCAATTTGAAAAAGTTGTCTAAAAACTATTAAAAAATTCAGGAACGTAGATCTCAACACGCTGATTCCATAAAATAGCATGTTGATGGTCACGAAGCAAGATTTTCGAAAAATTCCCTGCGAAATCCGAATTTTTGAAAATATCAAAAATTTCGAAATTTCAACTGTCCATTCTGGAAAATGGTTGCAGGTACCAAAAAACCGAAGCCGGATTTGAGTTCTAGAGCTCGAAATCTACAAGAAAATGTGATTAGTTGAGTTTCGAAAATGTCAAAATTTTTGCGAAATTTGAAGAAGGGGGGACCATTAAAAAATTTACTTTTAAAAAAGTTGTCTAAAAATTATGAAAAAATTCAGGAACGTAGATCTCGACACGCTGATTCCAAAAACATAGCATGTTGATGGTCACGAAGCAACATTTTCGAAAAAAACTCTGCGAAACGCGAATTTTTGAAAATTTCAAAAATTTCGAAAGTTCAACGGATGATTCTGGAAAAACGGTTGCATCTACCAAAAAACCGAAGCCGAATTTGAGTTCTAGAGCTTGAAATCTACAAGAAAATGTATTAAGTTGAAATTCGAAAATCTCAAAATTTTCGCGAAATTTGAAGAAGGCGGGACCATTAAAAAATTTCAATGTTAAAAAAGTTGTCTAAAAATTATGAAAAAATTCAGAGACGTAGATCTCGACACGCTGATTCCAAAAATATAGATTGTTGATGGTGACGAAGCAACATTTTCGAAAAATCGCTGCGAAACTCGAATTTTTGAAAATTTCAAATTGGAAATAAATAAGCTGATCTGGTGTTGTTTACAAATTTGCATTTTATGACGGACTCATTACAGTAACCATAATCTCTCCTCCCTTGGGTCGATACCTGCGGTGGGTTGGTACTTTGAGTTGCATAGCTACAAAAAATAATTCTTATTTTTTGTTGTTTTTCACACAGACAGTTGTAAACGTGAGTCAATTTTGTTTTCTATTATTACTACAACTACTCCTACTACTGCTACCGTTACTAATGCATTAATATTAATTCTGCAGCGATTAAATAAACACATCTGTTCAATTACAACAAACTTTATAAATAATGTAATAAGTTTGGTCTGGCACACAGTGTTTTATCAAACGTTTATGATCGAATTAAATACACAAACATCGGGGATTTTTGTTACATTATAACTACTTACAATCACTACAAATATTTACATATTTTCATTTTCATAAATACTAAATAAGTATATAAATATCTAAAATTCCAAATTAACTGCAGCGTAATTTCAAGAGATAAAAAGACCCTGAAAGTATTTAAAAACAAGGCTATTACACCACTTTCAAACAAATAACGAATTATTATTGTGGATGTAGGAAATGTGGGTGTTCAAAAGTTTTTAGATTAAAACATAATTCTACGGCTACTGAAACTCCAACAATTTAAATAGTGGCTCGTTGACAAACTAAAAGCCTCATTTATCTAAAAAAGTGTAATTTCAGTGCAACTCGTAAATAACACTGTATTTAAAGAACTGGATGAAACATGGAAGTTGGCACTTGAATTATAAAAATTTAATCTATTTTCTATTTTTATTTGTTTTTTTTTTAAAGACGTAATGGGAAAATTTCTTTTAACTTTCCAGCACTCACCACCACATACTTGGTACCACAACCGCACAGCAACTTTCCTAAAAAAATCATCACCTGGAAATCCCCGGAAACTAAAAATCCCGCTGAACATAATCCACAATTCCCAGTTCACGCTTGGCTTAATTACCACATTATCATTATTCGTGATACACTAGACACACAATGAAATTAAATATGCACTCATCTCGCAATTTTTTATCTCATGACTAATCTTTAATAACAACGCGAATCGAAAATCACGTTCTATTCTTTCCTGAGGCGTCTAGTGTACACACCTTCCCGGATTAACCACATTTTCTTAAGTAAATCGTAACAAAGAAGATGTTCAACACGTTGTGGTACGGTATCTTCCTCATGGGTTTGTTCCATTCGTCCCAAACCCAGTGTACCAAACCCAGCCCGACCACAGTCAGTGGTACCCACGCACCAACCACGACAATTTGTTCCGGCGACCTGATTTTCGAAGATGAGTTTGACGAACTCGATTTGCAAAAGTGGAACCATGAATTGACGCTGGGTGGAGGTGGGGTAAGTACCAGTACCATTTACTAGTTTACGTATCAACATACTCGTGCATAGAACTGGGAGTTCCAATGGTACGCCAACAGCAGGTACAACAGCTACGTGGAAAATGGGACACTTTTCCTGAAACCAACCCTAGTGGCTGACGAATATGGAGAAATGTTTTTGTCGACGGGGAATTTGGATATCAATGGTGGTGCTCCAGCAGACCAGTAAATACGTTATTACAACAACAAAAAAAAAATAATAAAATGTGTACGATGTAGGTGTACCAATCCGGCGTTTTATGGTTGTCAGAGGCAAGGTACCACCCAGAATTATTTGAACCCAGTCAAAAGTGCCCGGATTCGAACTGTGCATTCGTTCAACTTCAAATATGGTAAAGTCGAAGTTAGAGCGAAACTTCCCGCTGGCGACTGGTTGTGGCCTGGTAAGTTTCTCTAAAGGTAGTATAGTCACTAGTCAAAAATTTGTAGCCATTTGGATGCTACCCAGATGGAACCAGTACTCCGGGTGGCCCGTTTCCGGCGAAATCGACATCATGGAAAGCCGTGGCAACCGCGCCCTTGTCAATGCTTCCGGTGTCAATATCGGTACCCAGATGGTCGGTTCCACCTTGCATTGGGGTCCATCGGCGAAATACAACAAGTATAATTTGACCCATCTGGAAAAACTAAATCCGGATGGTTTTGACACCGATTGGCACAAATATCAATTGCTATGGGACGAAACGAGTCTTCAGTTCTCCATAGATGATGAGGTTTTGGGGAAGATTGAACCTCCAGCTGGTGGCTTCTGGGAATTGGGTAACCTCAGTTACTCTGGTTACGACAACCCGTGGAAAGGGAGTAAATCGAAACTGGCGCCCTTCGACCAGGAGTATTATATCCTGTTAAATTTGGCCTGTGGTGGTGTGTCCTATTTTCCTGATGAAGCCACTAATCCTGGAGGAAAACCCTGGTCCAATGTGTCTCCAACCGCCTCTAAAGACTTTTGGAAAGGGAAGGACCAATGGTTGCCTACTTGGCAGCTAGGAAACGATACTGCGGCTTTCAAAATTGATTACGTCAGAGTCTGGGCTTTATGAATAAGTTTAAAAATGTAAAATAAAACTATATTGTCATTCATCTTTATATAAAAATCACATCTTCTTTTTATAAAATAACTTACAATATCGTGCTTAAAAATATTACACACTGTGCACTACACAAACCCCGAATTTAAAATATCCTACGTCGATTTATCCACAGAATCACTAACTGTGGGAACTTTCTCCTGCCAAGCTTGAGCATCTCGTTGCTTATTATCATAAATCGCCAACACTTTTTTCGAATTCTCCACAAACTCCATCAACCCTCTGGACATATAGTATGGTTTTGCCATACCGTCGTTCTGCTCGCAGTCTTCGCAAAAACACAAAAAAATAGTGTCAATGGCCATCTAAAACCACTTAAATTACAACCCAAATCACCCATTTTGGTCATAGTACCTCATAAACTGTCATAAAACAGTGGGCCACAAAGTATGCAAAGAGTCCAGCTAGAGTTAACAGAACCCACATGTGTTGCAACCCTTCTTTGTACTAAAATTCAAACTAATAATGTCATTTAGGTACTAATTGTAAACGAACCTGTAGCATTTTGGCCCCTATTAACACCGTCGCAGCAACTACTAGAACTTTTCCCAGAAATAGTACAAAGTCACCGACTGAGTTTATCGCGGTGACTCGAAGAACGTTGGCCACCAGAAGCTTGAAAGCTTGTTTGCCTCCTTTACAAAATGAGTACCCGTACATGGCTAAAGAATCACAATTGTTTACCACCAAGTTTTGCTTTTTGGTACCACTTACCAACTTCAATGTACGCGTTCCTGGTTATGTACTTGAGGATTTTTTCGAAACAGTATAGACAGCACTGGCAACATTTTAGGGCGCAGTCCACGCATTTACCTTGGTGACTGTGCAAGTACTTCTCCACCCACTTTAAAATTATCCGGATGAACTGGACTAGTGCTACGAGAAAAGAGCCCAAAGCTACGGAACCCAGATGGTAGCGGACTAAGTTGTAGCCGCTTTTCAAAATGGGAGTACCGAGGGTGTTCTTGTCTCTAAAAGTGTGACGGTGAAAATAATGGTGCGACGTTTGTGTGAAAGTACCTGGCGAAGTACCAGTCGGACACAGCACCGGCTAGTACCATGTGTTGACACCCAATCACAAACTGGCACATCCACAGCATCGCTAGCAAGTTGTACCACCTAGTCAGTTTCATCCATACGTCTTTTTGGTACTTGTAGACGTGTGGTTCTTTGGGTGTGAGGTAGCCGGAACTTTCAATCCACAAAGAAAAATAAAACCAAATACTGATCACAACTCCCAGAGAAACGAAAGTCTAAAAAGTAGTTCGTTAGTAGTATCGAAATGTATTTAATGAAAATAGTAGTACTATTAACGGCTGCACTAGTAGCAAAGGCATTGAAGCCATCGCTTTCCCCGCTTCTTTGAATAATTGCACTACTAATTCTATTCTCTTTCTCATCACGATGATGACCAGAATTACAATCAGGGTCACAATACTGGCAACAATGGCGAACGCAAAGTAGGTGCCAGTTTTTCGGGAGTCGACGTCCGGGATTAGATTTTCGGGAAGATGGTTTGTGGATGTCTTGGACTGGTGCCACATTATCCTGGAAAAATGGGTTTATTTTTCGTGTGGTTGGTGTTGGTTGAGGTACCATAGTATCACTGTGCCGATGCAGCAGGCCAGTACGACCCCTACGAGTACTATCCATACGACGAATCCCACCAGGAAGCGAAATAAGATCAGTATTAAAAGCGAGAAGGCTGAAAAAAATAAAGGAAGTACTAACACTGAAGTTTGAATTTTCTTAATTAGTAAAGCAAAATTTTGGAAAAACGTTTGTAAATACACAGATTTAAGGGGCTGTAAAATTTCTTTGACTAGCATATCCTAAAATTATTAATTTTGGCAATTCTGATGCGACGTTGTCACGTTGCCACGTTATTCCAGTTTTCTTGATTTTTTTTGCCAAAGCAAAAGTTCACAAAAAAATCGGAGTCAAGTTGGTTTCAAAGTTCCTGTTGCAATATTTTATGGAAAGATAAACAGAGCTACGCGGTTTGTTGTGCTATTAAATAAATCAAATTTTAATATACAGAGTGTTTATCAAAAAATTCTAAATACATTACAATTTTCAAATATTGATATTTCAGTTTTTTCAAATCGAATACCCTGTATTTTATTACAACATCTTATTTTAACTTGCTGTCTTCCTTTCAATATGTCAACTTGAAATATAGAAAACACTTAACACAAAAAATGCTAAATAACTGAAACGAAATTTTTGGTTTTCTCTGGAAGGTCTTCAAAAAAATTCAAAAAATTCTCCGATGTCAAATTCACGCTGCTGAGGTGTTTCAACCCGGCCATTTCTTGATATTTCCTATTGTTTTACTAAAATTCTGAATCTAATCTTTGGGAAAAGCAACATTATTTCTCAAAAATTTTGAATTTAACTATAACTTTTCGATTCAGTGTGTCGAGATCTACCCGTCAATTTTTTGTTTAAATTTTTGACCGACTTTGAAAAAAAAACAATTTTTGGATATTTCGTGAAAATTGAAACTTTTGGCTTTCTCCTGAAAGTTTCCAAAAAATCCAAAAAATTCTCCTATGTCAAGTTCAAGTTGCTAAACGGTTTTGACGTGGTCATTTGTCCATATTTCTTGTTGTTTTACCAAAATTCCCAAAAATTCATGACAAACTTTGAGATATTCGAAAAATTTGAATTTGGATCCAGATATTTTGGAAAATAGTCACCGTACGAACGTCTAATTTTTTTCTACCAGAGATGTGTTATATCTTTACTAAAGCTCGATCTTTTTCATAATTTTTGTCTTGTCAGTAATTCTGAAATCGCGCTGAATGTGTTTTTTTGGAAAAATACCTTTATTTCGTAAAAAAAAATATTTTCAACTATAATTTTGACACAAGACCACTATATTTTTCGATTCACTATGTCGAGATCTACCCGTCACAATTTTTTGGCGCCTTTTTACGAACTTTGAAAAAAAAAAATTTTTGGATAATTCATGGAGATTGAAATTTTTGGTTTTCTCCTGAAGGTCTTCAAAAAATCCAAAAAATTCTCCTATGTTAAATTCAAACTGCTAGGTGTTTTAACATGGCAACTTTTCGATATTTTCAGTCGTTTCACCAAAATTCTCAAAAACATACATGAAAAGTTTTGAGATATTCGGAAAATTTGAATTTGGACCTAGATATTTCAGAAAAAAGTCACCGTAGGAACTTCTAATTTTTTTAAACCATAAATGGGGTATCTTTAATGGAGCCTGATTTTTTAATAATTTTTACCGTGTTACTTTTTCTGAAATCACGTTGAATGTGTTCTTTGAAAAAATCACCATTATTTTTGAAAAAATTTGCTTTTCAACTATAATTTTGGCCCAAGACCACTAATACGTTATATATTTTGATTCAGTATATGAGGATCTACCCACCAATTTTTTAGAGACTTTTTACCGACTTTGAAAAAAAACAATTTTTGAATATTTCATAGAAATTGAAATTGTTGGCTTTCTCCTGCTCGATTTCAAAAAATCAAAAAAACCTCCTATGTCAAATTCAAGTTGCTGAGGTGTTTTAACGTGGCCATTTGTCGACATTTCCTGTTGTTTTTCCATAATTTTGAGAAACATACCTGAAAAATGAAATATTCGAAAAATTGAATTTGGACCTAGATATTTCGGAGAATAATCGCGGTAGGAACTTCTATTTTTTTTTCCTCCATAGATGGAGTATCTTTACTAGAGATCGAATTTTTTCATAATTTTTACTTTGTCAGTTTTTCTGAAATTACGCTGAATGTGTTCTTCGAAAAGACCACCATTATTTCTTAAAAATTTTTGATATCCAACTATAATTTTGGCCCAAGACCACTAATACCGTATATTTTTCGATTTAGTATGTCGAGATCTCCTCATGAAAATTTTTTGGCGACTTTTTACAGACTTTGAAAAAAAAACAATGTTTGGATATTTCATAGAGATTGAAATTTTTGGCTTTCTCTTAAAGGTTTTCAAAAAATTCTCCTATGTCAAATTCAAGCTACTGAAGTGTTTTAATGTGGCCATTTGTCGATATTTTCTGCTTTTTACCAAAATGCTGAAAAACATAATTGACAAATTTTGAAATATTCAAAAAATTTGAATTTGGACCTAGACATTTCGAAAAATGGTCACCGTATAATTTTCTATTTTTTTTTTTTTCTATAGAAGTATAGACCAGGTATCTTTACCAGAGCTTGAATTTTTTCATGATTTTTACCTTTAGAGTTTTCTAAAATCGCGCTGAATACTCGTATGTTCTTTGGAAAAAGTACCATTATTTCTTAAAAATTTTGATTTTCAACCATTATTTCTTAAAAATTTAGATTTTCAACCATAATTTTGGACCAAGACCGCTAATACGCTCTGTTTTCCGATTCAGTAAGTCGAGATCCACCCATCATTTTTTTTTGGAAACTTTTTACCGACTTTGAAAAAAAAACAATTTTTGGATATTTGAGATTGAAATTCTTGGCTTTCTCCTGATGGTCTTCCAAAAAATCCAAAAAATTCTCCTATATCAAATTCAAGCGGCTGAGGTGTTTTAAGATGGCTATTTGTCCATATTTCCCGTTACTTTACCACAATTTTCATAAACATATATGACAAATTTTAAGATATTCGAAAATTTTGAATTTGGACCCAGATATTTTGGAAAATAGTCACCCTACGAACTTCTAATTTTTTTCTACCATAGATGTTGTGTGTCTACTAGAGCTTCATTTTTTTCGTAATTTTTGACTTGTCACTTTTTCTGTAATAGCTCTGAATGTGTTTTCTGAGAAAAGCACCATTATTTCTTAAAAAATATATTTTTAGCAATAATTTTGGCCCAAGACCACTAATACGTTGTATTTTTCGGTTCACTATGTCAACACCTACCCGTCAAAATTTTTTTGGGCACTTTCTACCGGCTTTTAAAAAAAAAAAATTTTTGAATATTTCATGGAGATTGAAATTTTTTGCTTGCTCCTGAAGTTCTTCAAAAAATCCAAAAAAATTCTCCTACATCAAATTTTTTAACGTGGCGATTTGTCAATATTTCCTGTAGTTTTACCAAAATTCTCAAAAACATACTTGACAAATTTTGAGACATTCAAAAAATTTGAACTTGCATCTAAACATTTCGGAAAATAATCAATTATAATTTGTTCCTTCTATGGACGAGGTATCTATAATAGAGTTTGAATTTTTTCATAATTTTTACCTTTAGAGTTTTTCTAAAATCGCGCTGAATATGTTCTTTGGAAAAAGTACCATTATTTCTTAAAAAATTTGATTTTCAACCATAATTTTGTACCAAGACCGCTAATACGCTGTATTTTTCGATTCAGTAAGTCGAGATCTACTCATCAATTTTTTTTTTTTTTTGGAAACTTTTGACCAATTTTGAAAAAAAAATAATTTTTGGATATTTCATGGATATTTAAATTTTTGGCTTTCTCCTGAAGGTCTTCAAAAATCCAAAAAAATTCTCCTATATCAATTTCAAGCTGCTGAGATGTTTTAAGATGGCCATTTGTCCATATTTCCCGTTACTTTACCAAAATTTTCAAAAACACATGACAAATTTTAAGATATTCGAAAATTTTTAATTTGGACCCAGATATTTTAGAAAATATCCTACGAACTTGTCATTTTTTTCTACCATAGATGTTGTGTCTCTACTAGAGCTTGATTTTTTTCGTAATTTTTGTCTTGTTAATTTTTCTGCAACCGCTCTGAATGTGTTCTTTGAGAAAAGTACCATTATTTCTTAAAAAATATATTTTCAACTATAATTTTGACCCAAGACCACTAATATGTGGTATTTTTTGGTTCACTATGTCAACACCTACCCGTCAAAATTTTTTTGGGCACTTTTTACCGACTTTGAAAAAAAATAATTTTTGGATATTTCATGGAGATTGAAATTTTTGACTTTCTCCTGAAGGTCCCCAAAACAATCCAAAAAATTCTCTTATGTCAAATTCTAGCTGCTGCAGTGTTTTAATTTGGCCATTTGTCGATATTTCCTGTTTTTTACCAAAATTCTGAAAAACATAATTGTCAAATTTTGAGATATTCGAAAAATTTGAACTAGGATCTAAACATTTCGGAAAATATTCAATTATAATTTTTTCCTTCTATGGACGAGGCACCTACAATAGAGCTTGAATTTTTTCATAATTTTTACCTCGTCAATTTTTCTGAAAGCGCGCTGAATATATTCTTTGGAAAAAGTACCACAATTTCTTAAAAATTTTGATTTTCAGCTGTAATTTTGGCCCAGGACCACTAGTATCCTGTGTTTTTCGATTCAGTATGTCGAGATCTACCCGTCATCATTTTTTGGCAACTTTGGCGACTTTAAAAAAATATATATTTTTGGAAATTTCATGGAGATTGAAATTTTTGGCTTTCTCCTAAACGCGTTCAAACATTAAAAAAAATCTCTTAACTCAAATTCAAGCAAATTCAGCAAATTTCCTGTCGTTTCACCAAAATTCTCAAAAAAATTCACGTCAAATTTGAGATATTGAAAAATTTTTAATTTGGACCAAAATATTTCGGAAAATAGTCGCCACAAGAACTTCTTTTTTTTTTCCATAGACGGAATATCTCTCCTTAAGTCTGAATGTTTTCACAATTTTTGCCCATGCTGTATAAGGTGATGCTTTTAACAATAAACGATAAATACGTGATCTTTCGTAAACAAAACGTGGAGACACCCTGTATATACGGGTATCTCAGCTAAAACTCCGCGGCCTATTATTATCTTGAGAACGGACAGAGATATTAAAATTCTGTGGACGTCATTGTTTTTAGTTCGAAAGGCTTAATTTAATTTTAATTATGACGCATACATGAATACAAAAATTACAGAATACAAATAATTACAAAACCAAAAATAAATCAAAATTTTAAACTTCGAAAGATATTAAATAATTTTTCCAGCTACTTACCCAGGGCAATAAGGCAAAGATACAAAAATTCGGGCCAACATAAATGAAAATCCTCAGACACTTCCTACAAATAACGAGATTATTTCCTCTTTTGTAGAAAATTCTCCTCTTTTTCGCGTTCAAAAATTTCGAAAAAAAAATAGGAGTAGAAATTTTTCAAATTTTTTGAACGCGCTGTTTTTGTCACTTACATGGAAGAAATTTTTCAATCCAGTTTTCGAAAAAAACTTGTTCACTACTTTGCTACTCCCTGTCGGAACACATCTACGGAAGAAGCGCCGGCTGAAAATAGAATCGCATATTTCACCCACGAATCGATAATTCCGTCTGGAGAGGCAGAATTGCACAGAAACTAACATTAATATTTAAAGATCGCGTGCAAACGTGCATCTAATCAAATTATCGATAACAGCAAACACTACACTTACTATCCTTCGTAATTGTCACAATCCGGGACGCACTTTTTTTCGATAATCGATGAGTCGTTGTTCCTTATCATTATGTGATATCTACAACATTTAATCAAAGAAAATTTTTATTTTGGAAATGAACTGGTGTCGATTATACTGACGGTCTCGTCAACGTCGAACTTTCTTCTTGACACACCTCGTCTTTGAAACCGTCATAATTAACGACGTTGTTCTTTCCACAAACGTGACCACAGTTGTCATATCCGTTAATAATGCGGAAAATATCGCCGTTGAAGATGCAATAACCCACAAAGAACAGCTGAAAATCGCACCTACAACACCGATTTATCGCGATTTAGTAAATCAACCCTTACCAGGACGATCAGGAATAAGGTTAGGAAAATCAGGAAGCACACATCCGTCGTGGACCGAGATCTCCGCTTAAAATCGTCGCTTCCCTGCGATCCTGATCCATCGTAAAAATTCCCCATATCGCCCGTCTGAAAAATAAAAAAATACTACAATCAGTAAAACCACAAACGCTTGCTGCCGTACCCACAAGGGTGGAGTATTTAATAGAAAACATTAATTAGTTAATTACCATAACTTACCTCGTGTGGTTTAATTTTTTCGCCGGCGCTGACTTTCGCCCCCATCGCTTTTAACAGCTGGAACGATATTAAGTGTAAAACTATAGCGAAATTTTAATAACAAAGGAGGATTAAAGCGTGATGGAGATAATGTTTTACATCCGTTTGCTTTTGATATGTTTTGATTCCGTGTGTTGTTATCAAAGAACTACCATGGTTTGATGAAATGCTGTCGTGTTGAGTGCGTCGCGTTAATTTTTTTTGTGTAATTGACCTATATAGAGTGATGTTGAGTGGAAGTGGCGATGGATAAATCGAGTATTTCGAAATTTTACCACCATGGCTTCCCGTGTGGTGGTGTGTTGGTGCTTATTTCGTGTTAACGTGGTTGGGTGGGTGCTAAACTTGCCGTGTTAGTTAGGAGTAATTTGCAATTTTAATTACTAAGCTTTTGTGAAAATAGTTGATATGATTTAAATAATTATTTTTATTTTTATATGAAAATGTGGGTAGTTTTTGCACGATGTTGCACCTGAATAAACAACTACAATACATAGTCCAAGAGATTCAAAAACGTTTATTTTACCTTTAGTTATGTTAAAAACTTTAATGTACATTAGTAATTATATGGTGGGGATTCTAGCATACTTTGACCTCACTTGACTTAGGCCAGAACCTCGATCACTTTTGTTGACCGCATCCCGGAAGTCAGGTCAGTTTAGACCAGCTCATAGTTTGTCAAGTCACGTCAAGTAAAGTCAGGTCATTCAAGGTCAGGTCAGGACAAGTAACGACCAGTCAATTCAGGTCAAGTTTGGTCATTCAGGAGCAATTTGTTCAAGTCAAATGAGGTTAAAATGAGCTAGAACCCCCATCACGCAATTGAAAAATGAAAAAATGAAAACTAAACTAAAAAAAAGATCTTTTCACAAAAACTATACGTCAAAAAATTCGTCAAAATTTACCATTGTGTAGCAAATTGTGAAAAAAAATCAATTACCGACTTTTTGGAGAATTGTGAGTGCTTTTGGCGAATTGGTAACATCACCACCGAGAAATTTACAAAATTTGGCCGAAAATAAATTTCTATCTTTTTACTATTTAAAGCTGCCGAATTTTGCAGACGTAATTGAAAAATTCTAAATTTCACATTTTGCACTGGTTTTTTAATTTTACTATGAAAAGTTTCTCTCCTTTATGAACACTTTTTTTAAATGTGCAAAATTTTTAATTACTATTTTAAAAATTTTCTATGATTCAAGAGATCTTTCACTATCAATGACCTGATACGTCGGTATGAGGTCACACTGAGCTAGAACACGATATAACTACTTATACCAAATAATATTTAATTTTCTGAGGAAAGTTGAAACTATTTTCAAAACATTTTTTTTAAGTTGATCACAGCCTCGTAATTCTAATGTTTTTTTGACAAAAAAGTGACATTACATTGTTTAAAAATTCGTACAAAATTAATAATTATTCTAAACACATTCAGGTACCAGTTCCTGGTGAATTACGAGCGCTTCTTACGACTTGACAACACCACCAAGAAATTTGCAAATTTTTTGAGAAAAATAAAATATTATATATTCGTAAATTGACTTTTACGTATTCAACGTGTACTGTTTGTACTTTTTGACAGTTTTTCACATTTTATTTTGCCTTTTTAAGTTCACTATTATAAGTTTTTCATATTTATTAACACTTTTTTTTTAATTTTGCGAAATTTTAATTCGGATTTAAAACGAGGTTCGGACTAAGATCAAATGAGGTCAAAGTGTGCTATAACTACTTAGACCAAACAAAATTTACTTTTATAGTAAAAGTTGCACCTATTTTGGAAAATATGCTTTCAAAAATGTTTAAAAATTGCGATAATTGTATAATCAAAAAGAAAAAAGAAAAACTTGTTTTAATTATAAATGCAAATTTCGACGGAAAAAATCTTCAAAAAAATTTGAGTAATAGAGTTTTTGAGGTCACAATTTTTTAAAACACTTTGCATTTTCTTTTTCGAGGTAATTATATTTAAAACCGTCAAAAGTTTAATACATTTTTGAAAAAAAAGGAAATATTACCTGTTTTTCCACAATAATTTTATAGTAATTTTGAAAACTGTCCATGGTGAAATGGTCGGCATAAAACAATGGGGGTTATGGCTCAGGTCAAATGTGTTCAAAGTGAGCTGGAACCCCCACCATATAACTAATAAATAATTATTATAACAAATAAAATTTAATTTCTTTTTATTTATTCTTACTTTCAACGCGTTGTGTCAATTCTTACAGAAAATAAGGCAAAAGGGAGCATTTTTCATTTTTTTCCTAATCAATTTCGAAATCCAAAGGGATTTTTTAAACGTAAGAACAACATCCAAAAATACAATTTTACCACTTGTAAAAAAATCATGTACTAACTTCCTGAAGAATTAAGAATTCTTTTAACAAATTGGCAACACCGCCAAGAAATTTACAAATATTTGGAGAAAGATAAATTTTACCTAGATATGAATTTCAATTATTTCAGCTGCTCTCAATTGAATTTTGTGTATCCTACGTTTACTCTTTTCAAATTTTCGAAATTTGCGGACATAATTCAAGTTCTGTAAAACTCTTTTGAGATTTTTTTCATATTTTAATTCGATTTTTTTTCACTATTATAAGTTTTTCTCATTTATTGTGCCAGATTTTTATTAGTTTAGAAAATTTCTCATAACTCATAATATTAACTTTATAATTTATAGAAAATATTTTATAAAATAATAATTTTATAATAATTTTGAAAACTGCAGGTAGATCATGAACTGATGAAATGGTCGCCGAAAAGTAATGGGGGTTCTGGCTCAGGTCAAATGAGATCAAAATAAGCTGGAACCCCCATCATATAACTAATTCATAATTATGTATTGTATCAAACACAAAGTTAAATATACGTACTTTAGAACATACACTTTTTTTTTTGAATCGTGATAACTATATAAACACAGATTAAAGATTTATCCTTACTTCCAATAAGTTGTGTTTATTCTTGCATAAAATAAGGTAAGAGGAGAACAACATCTTAATTGTAAGGAAGTTTTCGAAAAAAAAATAAGTTTTACAAATTTACCTCTTTTCAGGTTTTTTGGTTTTTGAATTTTTCTATTTTTTCAGGTTTTGATTTTTCAACTTCACTTTTTTGATTTTTCGATTTCTCAATTTTTCAATTTTTTAATTTCTCACTTTTAGGACATTTCAGTTTTGGGATTTTTCAGTTTACTTGTTATTCAATTTTTCGATCTTACGATTTCGCAGGTTTTCGATTTCTCAATTTTTCGATGTTTCGACTTCATTTTTTTTATTTTTCCATTTCTCAGTTTTTCGATTCTTTAGATTCTCAGTTTTTCGATATTTCAGTTTTGGGATTTTTCAATATTTCTGTTCTTCGACTTCCATTTTTGACTTCTGGATTTTTCGATGTGTCGACTTTTTACTTTTCGATTTTCAAATTTTAGATTTCTCAATTTTTTGGTATTTTAATTTCTTAATATTTAAAATTTTAGATTTTTCGATTTCTCGATTTTTCATTTCAGCTCTTCCATATTCCAATTTTTCAAATGTTTCGATCTCTTAATCTTTCGATTTTTCGACTTCCCGGTTTTAGATTTTCTGTTTTTCAATTGTCGTTTTTTCAAATTTTCGATATTTCAATTTTTCAAATTTGACATTTAAGCTGTAAATTTTTCGATTTTTCAATTAATCGAAGTTTTGATTTTCCCATTTCTTGACTTTCGAGGGTTTCCATATTCCTGTTCTTCAATTCTTTAATTTTTCGATTTTTCATTTTTTAGTTTTTTTAAGGTTTCGATTTTTCGACTTCACTTTTTGGATTACTCGATTGCTCAATTTTTCGACTTTTTAGGTTTTCAGTTTTTGGATATTTCAGTTTTCGGATTTCTCAGGTTTTCCATTTTTGAGTGTTTCTTTCATTATTCAGATTTTAATATCTCAGTTTTGGGATTTTTCAATATTTCGATTCTTCGATCTGGATTTTTCGATGTGTTGATTATTTTACTTTTTCAATTTTTGGATTTTAAAATTTTAGATATTTTAAAAATTTTAGATTTTTCGATTTCTCGATTTTTCAGTTCAGTTCTTCGATATTTGAATTTTTAAAATGTTTCGATTTCCTAATCTTTTGATTTTTCGACTTCCCGGTTTTAGATTTTCTGTTTTTCAATTGTCATTTTGCCAATTTTTCGATTTTTCAATCAATGTTTTGACCTTTGAGTGTTTCGATTTTCCTGTTCTTCAATTCTTTAATTTTTTGCTTTTTCTGGTTTTTGATTGTTCAATTTTTCGATTTTTTAAGGTTTCTATTTTTCGAATTCACTTTTTTTATTTTTCGATTTTTCAGTTTTTAGATGTTTCAGTTTTAGGATTTTTCAATATTTCAATTTTCGGCTTTTCTATTTTTGACTTCTGGAGTTTTCGATGTGTCGATTTTTTTATTTTTTCGATTTTTCAATTTTTCGATTGCTTAATGTTTCGATTTTTCGACTTCCCGGTTTTAGATTTTCTGTTTTCAATTGTCGTTTTAAATTTTTCGATTTTTCAATGTTTTGATTTCCCGATTTAGTTTTTCTTTCATTTTTCAGTTTTTCGATATTTTAGTTTTGGGATTTTTCAATATTTCGATTCTTCGAATTTTCGATTTTTGACTCCTGGAGTTTTCGATGTGTCGATTATTTTACTTTTTCGATTTTTCAATTTTTCGATTTTTCAATTTTAAATTTTTTAATTTTTAAAATTTTAGATTTTTCAATTTATCGATTTTTCAGTTCAGTTTTTCGATATTTGAATTTTTTAAGTTTTCGAATTTTTCAAATATTTCGATTTTTTAATCTTTTCATTTTTCGACTTCCCGGCTTTAGATTTTCTGTTTTTCAATCGTCATTTTGTCAAATATTCGATTTTTCAATTTTTTAAATTTGACTTTCATAAACTCTCATTGTTTCGATTTTTTAATTAATCGATGTTTCGATTTTCCCATTTCTTGACTTTTTAGGTTTTCAGTTTTTGGATATTTCAGTTTTCGGATTTTTCAGGTTTTCCGTTTTTCAGTTTTTCTTTCATTTTTCAGTTATTGGATATTTCAATTTTGAGATTTTTCAATATTTCGATTCTTCGACTTTTCGATTTTTGACTCCTGGATTTTTCGATGGGTTGATTATTTTACTTTTTCGATTTTTAAGTTTTAGATTTTTTAATTTTTAAAATTTTAGATTTTTCGATTTCTCGATTTTTCAGTTCAATTCTTCGATATTTGAATTTTCTAAGTTTTCGAATTTTTCAAATGTTTCGATTTCTTAATCTATCGATTTTCCGACTTCCCGGTTTTAGATTTTCTGTTTTTCAATTGTCGTTTTTTCAAATTTTCGATTCTTTGATTGTTCAATTTTTAGATTTTTTAAGGTTTCGATTTTTCGACTTCACTTTTTTGGATTTTTCAGTTTTTAGATATTTCAGTTTTAAAATTTTTCAATATTTCAATTTTTCGGCTTTTCTATTTTTATTTCTGGATTTTTCGATGTGTCTATCTTTTTACTTTTTCGATTTTTCAATTTTTGGATTTTTAAATTTTAGATTTTTCAATCTTTTGATATTTTAAATTTTCAATATTTCTTAATCGTTCGATTTTTCGACTAACTGGTTTTAGATGTTCTGTTTTTCAATTTTTCGATTTGTTAATTTTTCGTTCCCGGTTTAACGAGATTTGATTCTTCAGGTTTTCGATTTGTAAGTTTTTCAATTTTTGACTTCCCGAGCGTAAGCAAAGGAAGTATTGTAATCGAGTCCATCGGCCGACTCTCTAGTTTTCATGACCCCTAGAAGACGAAGAAATATGTACGTCTGTCCGTCTGTCCGTCTGTCCGTCTGTCTGCCGTCCCGGATTTTTATTAGACAGATAATCTCCGTAAGTACTGGACCGATTATTATGAAATTTTGTACTTATATTAGGAATATTATGTAGATGGTAAAACGCTACCCAAAATTTGGTTGGGTTTTAAATTGCATAAAATAACATAGTACTACACATGTAGCTTACGACTCCTAATTGAGTTTTTACCCGAAACGTCCAGATTTTTGGAAAAAAAATCAAAAATATAAAACAACATTTTGCAATTTAATTTTGAATCTGCTAGCTAACCCGAATGCTTTGAAATGTTGCCAATGTTTTAAGGCTATAAAGAGCATCATAAATCTCTAGTCAAAATATATTTGGTTGTCCCCTCCAAAAACTTGATGACGCCACCCCAAAATTTTGCTGAATAAATCCTATCTAAATTGAACAAGATATGATGAGTCTCTTCTTGTGATTTACCATTCCATTCATATTTTTGTTATTTGCATATACAGGGTGACCCAAAAGAATTAATGAATGCGTAAATGTAATTCAATTCTGCCTACTACTAACTATCATCACAAAAACACGATAAAGCCTGTATTACACACGCCTGCATTCGGTCAGCTGATGGAATGATAAAGATTAAATAAAAAACTATAAAATATCATGAATCCTACATGTGTTCACGTGTTTACCAGCCTTAACTAGCGAATTGTCGAAACGTATAATCAGCACTTAAGAACCTAGGAACACGCATTCGCTCGATATTGTGATAAAACGGACGACTACTTTGGACATTCCTTAGATAAACTTGTCTCGACAAACAGAAAAGGACAAACATTTTTGTGACCAAACAGTAATGAACAAATAAATACAATTTATTAAAATCTAAATTACTTACTTATGGACTAAATTTTCTCCAAAGTAATAATAAAAATACATACCTCTGATATAAATGCTATGACAGCGAAATAAGCACTCAAGTTTTTTTGGATCTGATTTCCGTAAAATTCCCTAAACAAAACTTAAAACTGAACTCTTCAGAGACGTAATTGTATAATGAGGTAACAACCTAATAAGTTGTTTATTTGTTAAAGTGTCTATCAATGTGTCATCATGCATAATCAATAGTGAAATCTACATTTCGAGAAATACCACGATGACTTACTTTCCAACAATTAAGAAGAAATTATAGGAAGGTCATTTTGGCAAATGTTCAAATTCATGTTTTGTTGGTATTTGAGAATAATTTAAGATCATTATGAAAATAATGAAAGACTACTTAAAATTTATCTATGATTTATCCCTTCCAGAAAGCTAATAACATCATGTATAAATATTATTGTTTGCATTAAATAATGTGTAGAACCGAAACGTTTTATGTCTTACCTGTTTACTAGGAGTACAACTAAAGAAATAAGCTCTAAATTGTGGCAAATACAACACACCAACTTTGACTTTTAAAAGTTATTACAAACTCCGACAGCTGCAATAACAGTGAACAAAAACCCACGATACGCAGAAAATAAAATAATCAGCGAAAAACAACACTTTTTTCTCCGTTTTTTAAGCAAAACGCACCAAAAACTCCCACATTGTAAAAGCAATAAATTCATCACTTACCTCCAACCAGTTTAACTCCTAAATGGTCCACACACTCTCATAATCACTGTCAAACAGTCCCACAAGCAATCTTTTCATCACCCGTTATGCGGCAGCCACACAACATTATCAACCAATTTAGCCCTTCCTTAACAGTCACGGGCTAAACTTAGAACGAAGCCCATTTTCTTTTTAAGCAAACTTTAATAAAAACTTCATGCCGCACTTTTCCCCTTGCCGGTGCAAGTGAGTGGCTTATGCACGCTCGCCATGCCATGTAAACAAGCGGGGTTGTAACCTAGACAACACCTTGACCCCATCCCACAGCCATCAGGTGTGTCCCCTTTTCCATTTTTATCTATCTGTTTCATTTATTTTACATAATAAAGGTACAATACATGTCGAGACTTCCATCAGTAAATCTATAATGGATTTTCTGGTGTCAGAAGCACGCACTGTTTCCGTTTCAAAAGGTGACCTCAATAGTGGTCGGAATAATGCAAGCCCTACATGGAAAATGGATAAAGGGGGGAGGGGTGGGTGTTCTTTTGGAAGGAAATTGGGTTTGGGTGTGAATTGTTTGGTTGTTTGTTTGGGTTATCGGTTTTCGATCATTTTGGTAAAGCGAGGGGTTGTTGAAAGGTTTTTGAGTTATGTACATATCATCCAATCATTTTCGAAGGTGCTGGGAAACGGGTCAAAATTTTTTAGAGGAGTATCACAAAACTGAGCCTTTTTGACTAAGTTGTCCAAAAATTCAACAACAAACTGTAAGAGCAGTCGTGGTATTTTTTAAGGACATATTTAGCGATTTTCCGGAAAAACTGGCTGGCCAAAAAAGTGAAAAATATTGCATTTCTAAATCAAATTTTTAAAACTGTGGGAAAATGAAGTCGAAAAAAATTTCCGAGGGCTGAATATATAAACAAACATTTCTTTAGGTAATTTCCGAAGGGAGTCAGGAAAGCATTGAAAATTTCCTAGCACGAGGAAGTTGCCTAAAAAGTTGCATACAATTCTGATCTCGACACGATGATTTTCTTTATTACTTTATAGTTTTTCGATTGCTTTATTCGAGTTATCAATTTTAAATTTTTCCTTTTTCGATGTAATTTCTAGAAATTTTATTGTTTCGATTTTTAATTTTTTTTATTTTTTAGTTCCCCAATTTTTAATTTGATTTTTCAATTTTTAGTTTATCCGTTTTTCAAGTTCATAATTTTTTGTTCTCCAATTTTTCGATTATTTAATTTTTCAATTTCTCAATTTTTAATTTTTCAGTTTTTCAGTAGGTACTTCACTGCTACTGTTTATCAATTTAACAATTTTTAGTTTTTTCAATTTTTCCGACTTTTTTAATTTTCGGTTTTCCTATTTTTGATTTTTTCAATTTTTCGATTCCTGGATTTTTAATTTTTCAGATTTTCGATTCGATCCCTAATATTTCATTTTTCGATGTTTGAGTGGGTACAATTTTTCGATTTTTCAATTTCTCAAAATTTTTCAATTTATTAATGTTTCTCTAATCCTAGATTTGTAACTTTTCCACTTTTCACTAGTTTTTTGACTTTTCAGTTCTTCGATATTCCAATTTTTGTTTTTTCAAATTTCGCTATTTTGATTTTTCCATTTTTCAATGTTATAATAATTATTTAATTTTTTCAATGTTCTATTAGATTTTCCAATTTTTTAGTTTTTTATTTTCTCGATTCTTAATTTTTGAATTTTTCACTACTACAATTTTTCGTTTTTTCAATTTTCCTAGTTTTCAATTTTCCTAGTTTTCAATTTTTATTCTCCTTTTCTCAATTTCTCCATTCTTAATTTCCAATTTCCGATATTTCAATGCCTGAATTAAAAATTTCTCAGTTTTCCGATGTTTCAATATTTCTTTTTCGTTTTTTAATTTTTCGATTTCCCAATTTTTTCAATGTCTCGATTCTTAAGTATTTTATGTTCGATGTTTCAGTCAAACAATTTTTCATTTTTTTTTTAATTTTTAATTCTCTTCTTTACGACTGTTTCTATTTTTTACTGATTCTTTTTTTTTTCTATTTTAGATTTATAATTACTCGATCTTCGATTTCACGACAAATTCTTAAATTTTTGAATTATCAATTTCTGAAACTTTCGATTTTTCATTCTTATAATTTTGCATATTCCTATTTCTTAATTTTTGGATTTTTTACCTTTTTGCCTGGAAATGCAAATTTTCATTTTTTTTTATTTACTCCTATAATTCTTCAGTTTTTCGATCGTACAATTTTTGGGATTTTCAATTTACCAACTTTCCAATTTTTAGATCCTTTTATTGTTCGAATTTTCAATTTTTAACTTTTGAATTTCTCGATTTTTTATTTATCGGTTTCTTGTGTTCCAATATCACAAATTTTCGATTTTACAATTTTTCGGTTTTTCAATGTTTTGATTTCTCTGTTTTTTATTTTTCAATTTTTTTCAGTGTTTCGATATTTCAGTCGTAGAAATTTATGGCTTTTCAATTTAGGTTTTTCAATTATTGAATTTTTCTGTTTTTCTGTTTCAATTTTTCAGTGTTTCATTTTTCCAACTTTCAATTTTTGGATTTTACAATTTGACATGTTTTCCATTTTTCGCCAGATTTTTAAATTTTTGATTTTTCAAAATTTCAATATTTCGAATTTTTTATTTTACAATTTTACGGTGTTACTATTTAACAATTTTACAACTTTTTTTTTACATTTCCGGATTTTTTTTTTATTTTAAATTTTTGGTTTGTCAATTTCTCAATTTTTATTTTCAATTTCCCGATCTGGAATTTTTTAATTTCTCGATTTTGAACCATATTTTCTCCATTCATAATTTTTCAATCTTGGATGATTTAACGTTACAGTCTTTCGATTTCATAATGTTTAAATTTTAGATTTTTCAATTTTAGTATTATTTTTTTTTATTTTTCAATTCCTATCTTAGATTATTAATTTTTCATTGTCAGGATTCGATACTTAATATTTCAGTGTTTCCGTTTTTCAGTGCTTCATTTTTAAATTTTTGATTTTTAATTATTCGTTTTTTCGATTATTCAATTTTACAATTCTGCCAAATTTCGATCTGTCATCAACTTTTTTAATTTTTGATTTTTCAAATTCTCAAACTTTCGATTTTTCAGTCTTAAAATTTTGTAATTTTTCAATTTTTCAATTTCTTTTTATTTTTTGATATTTCAGAATTAAATTTTTCGGTTCTTCGAGATTCCAATTTTGTTTTTCCAATTTTTCAAGTTTTGGTGTTTCCATTGTTCAATGTTATAATAATTATTTAATTTTTTCAATTGTCTATTTTTAGATTTTAGATTTTCAAATTTTTTGATTTTTTAATGTCTTGATTTTTAGTCTTCAATTTTCCGATTTTTTCATTTTTAAATGCTTTAATTTTTCAATTTTTCAGTTTCTCATTTGATAATTTTCCAAAGTCTCGATTTTTAAGTACTTTGTTTCGATGTTAGAGTCGAGCAATTTTTCAATTTTTTTTTAATTTTTTAATTCTCTTCTTTTCCTGTGTTACGATTTTTCATTATTTCATATTTTTTTTTATTTTAGATTCATAATTATTTAATCTTCCGATTTTTCAGTTTTGTAATTTTGCAAATTTTCGATTACAAGTCAAATTATTAATTTTTTTAATTGTCGATATCTCATTCTTATTGTTTTGCATTTGTCTATTTATTAATTTCTTGAATTTTTACTAATTCAGTGCCTCCAGTAGCAATTTTTCAATTTTTTTTTTATTCATAATTTTCTAGTTTTTCGATTTTACAATTTTTTGTATTTTCAGTTTTCCGATTTTTCAATTTTTAGGTACTTTTATTTTTCGATTTCTGATATTTCAATATCACAATTTTTCGTTTTTCCAATTTTTCGATTTTTAATTTTTCAATTTTTTCAGTGTTTCGCTGTTTCAGTTGTATAAATTTATACTTTTTCAGTTATTTAATTTTTCTGTTTTTGGGTTTCGATTTTACAATGTTTAATTTTACATCTTCTAATTTTTAATGACTCCATTTTTCAATTTTTGAATTTTACAACTTTGTTTACGATTTTTTTTTTAAGTTTTGATTTTTCAAATTCTCAATCTTTGGATTTTTCAGTTTTACAATTTTGTAATTTTCCATTTTTACAATAATTTGATTTTATGCTTGATTTTCAATTTTTCAACTTTTTTTATTTTGATTTTCCAATTTTTCATTTTTCATTTCTTCGATGTTGCAATGTCTGCTTTTTCAAATTTTCCTATTTTGGTTGTTCCATTGTTCAATGTTATAATAATTATTTAATTTTTTCAATTTTCGATTTTTAGATTTTCGGATTTTTTGACTTTCCAATTTCTTGATTTTCAATCTTAAATTTTCCGATTTTTTCATTCTTAAATGCTTTAATTTTTCAGTTTCTCATTTGATAATTTTCAATTCCTCGATTTTTCGACGTTTCAGTCCTACAATGTTTCGTTTTTTCGATTTTCCCAGTTTTCAATTTTTATTTCCTTTTTTTCAATTTTTCATTTTGTCGATTTTTAATTATTCAATTTCCCGATTCTTATTTTTTCAATGTTCGATGTTTCAGTGCCCCAATCTTTCGTTTTTTCTATTTTCTGATATTTCAATTTTTCTTTTTCATTTTCCAACATTTTTTCGATTTCCCGATTTTTAGTTTTTCAATGTCTCAATTCTCAAGCACTTTATGTTTCCATGCTTCAATGGCACAATTTTTTCAATTATTCACTTTCAGAGTTTCAATTTTTCAGTTTCACAATTTTACAAATTTTCGATTTCACGTCAAATTCTTAAACTTTTGATTTCCAAATTTTCAAATTTTTATCAATTCTTATCATTTTGCACTTTTCAGTTTCATAATTTTTGGAATTTTTACCAATTCAGTTGCAATTCCTCAGTTTTTTTATTTATAATTTTCAAGTTTGTCGATTCTACAATTTTTCGTGTTTTCAGTTCTTCGATTTTCCAAATTTCAGAAACTTTTATTTTTCGAATATTCAATTTCTCAGTTTTTAACTTTCCAATTTCCCGATTTTTAATGTTTCAAACTTTTTCAGTTTCGATGTTTCAGCTGTACAAATTTTTGCTCTTTACAAATTTAAGTTTCTCAATTTTTGAATTTTTCTGTTTTTGTGTTTAATTTTTAATTTTTAAGTTTTTGATACAAATCTTATGAAAAATCGAAACTACGCAAATTTGTAAACCTCAAAAATCGAAAGATGAAGTTTCAAATTCTCAATGATTTGAATTTTTAATTTTACAATTTTACAATTTTTAGATTTCTCAGTCATTCGATTTTGCAACTTTTTCAACTATTATTTTTTTTTTTATTTTCAATTTAATATTTCAATTTTTCAATGTTTCAATCTGACAATTTTTTGATTTTTAACATTCCGAAAATTTAAGTTTTCGATTTTTCAATTTCTAATTTTTTTAATTTTTCAGTTTCTTCATTCATAATCCTGCAATGTTTCGATGTTTCCTTTTTTTAATTTTCGTTTTTTCAATTTTTCACTTTCTTCTTCTTAATTTATCAATGTTACGATATTACTGTCTTCCAATTTCCCAGTTTTTTAAATTTTTGGAAGTTTCGATTGCAAATTTTTCAGCTTTTCGATTTTTGATTTTTCAAAAAATTTCAGTTTGAAGAAATTAGATCTTTCTATTGATAAATAGAAAAACTTAAAAATTCAAAATCGAACAGTGGCATAATTTCAGTTTCGATTTTTCAATTTCTGATTGTTTTCAATTAATCCATTTTAAATTTTTCGATTCTCCATTCATCCATTTTTCACTTTCTTGAATCTTAATTTTTCAATGTTACGATGTTTCATTCTTCCAATTTTTCCATTTTCCGATATTCCAGTTTTTTCAATTTTTAAGTTTCCTCTGTTCCGATTTTTAAGTGTTCCATTTTTTCAATTTTTACTTCCCGAGCGTAAGCAAAGGAAGTATTGTAATCGAGTCCGTCGGCCGACTCTCTACTTTTACGTTTTCTCGATCTTTCATGACCCCTAGAAGACGAAGAAATAGGTCTCCCATTTCCGTCTGTCTGTCCGTCTGTCCGTCTGTCCGTCCGTCTGTCCGTCTGTCCGTCTGTCCGTCCGTCTGTCCGTCTGTCCGTCTGTCCGTCCGTCTGTCCGTCTGTCCGTCCGTCTGTCCGTCTGTTGTCCCGGATTTTTATTAGACAGATAATCTCCGAAAGTACTCGACCGATTGTTGTGAAATTTTGTACTTATATTAAGAATATCATGTAGATGGTAAAACGCTAACCAAAATTTGTCTAATCATCCCCACCACTAATGCGATGACGTCACTTCAAAATTGTACATAGTAAATGGGTTTTCAATTGTATAAAATAACATAGTCCTACACATGTAGTTTACAACTCCGAATCGACTTTTCACCCGAAACGTCCAGATTTTTGGAAAAAAAATCAAAATTATAAAACAACATTTTGAAATTTAATTTTTAATCTGCTAACCAGAATGCTTTGAAATGTTGCAGATGTTTTAAGGCTATAAAGAGCATCATAAATCTTTAGTCAAAAAATATTTGCTTACCCCCTCCAAAAACTTGATGACGTCAGCTCAAAAGTTTGTGGAATAAATCATATCTAAAATGTACAAAATATGATGAGTCTGTACTTGTGATCTATCACTCCATTCATATTTTTTGGATTTGCATATACAGGGTGACTCAAAAAAATTAATGAATGCGTAAATATATTTTATTGATTTAATCAGGAACTACAAAACCGAATGCTCTGAAATCTTGCAGATGTTTTAAGGTCATAAAGAGCATAATAAATGTTTAGTCAAAATATATTTGCTTATCCCCTCCAAACACTTGATGACGTCAGCTCGAAAGTTTGCCGAATAAATCTTATCTAAACTGTACAAAATATGATGAGTCTGTACTTGTAATTTATCACTCCATTCATATTTTTTGGATTTGCATATACAGGGTGACTCAAAAAAATTAATGAATGCGTAAATTTATTTTTTCGATTTAATCATGAACTGCAAAACCGAATGCTTTGAAATCTTGCAGATGTTTTAAGGTTATAAAGAGCATAATAAATGTTTAGTCAAAATACATTTGCTTATCCCCTCCAAAAAATTGATGACGTCAGCTCGAAAGTTTGCCGAATAAATCATATCTAAAATGTACAAAATATGATGAGTCTGTACTTGTGATCTATCACTCCATTCATATTTTTTGGATTTGCATATACAGGGTGACTCAAAAAAATTAATGAATGCGTAAATTTATTTTACTGATTTACTCAGAAACAACAAAACCGAATTCTTTGAAATCCACTGCGAAAAAAAAAACATAATAGGCATGCAGTCGTCACGTTTCCGACAGCGAGGGAAGTACTGTCGAAACTCTTTAGACCAATTTTTGATTTTGAATTAGTTTTGTTTCTTCAATTTTACAATTTTATTTTGCAAATTTTCGATTTCTCATCAATTTTTCGATTTTTCGATTGTGAACTTTTCAATTTTTCGATACTTAGGAATTTAGAAGATATTAGTTCTCAGTATTTACAGATCAATTGAAAACATTCAAAATCGAAACATTAGAAAATTGAAAAAACAAAAAATTCAAAATTCAAAAGTTAAAAATATCAAAAAATTAGAAAAATTAAAATAGAGAACTCTGAAAATTACAAATCAAAAAATTACAAATCGAAAACCTCAAATATCGAAAAACTGAATAACTCAATTTTAACTTTCACAATTCAAAAATCCCACAAATTTTTTTAGTAAAAATTCAGTGACCGATGTTTCAATTTAACAATTTTGTAATTACTCAATTTTTCGAAATGCGATTGTAAATTTTTCAATTTTTCGTTGTCTGATTTTTCAAAAAATTCGGTATGAAGAAATTAGTTCTTTTTATTGATAAACTGAAAAACTTAAACATAGGAAAATTGAAAAAACAAAAAAATTTAAAAATTCAAAGGTTAAAAAAATCCAAAAATCAAAAAGTTTAAAATAGAAAACTCGAAAAAATACAAATCAAAAAATTGATTTTATTTACCTCTGTCTATCTCGAAGAAACAACAAATTCTTAGTAAAAATGCAGTGACAGATTTTTCAAAACCAACTTGATGGTGATCGAAATGTCAAAAATTTCGTAAGGGGAGAGTATCGAAAATTTCGTAAGGGGAGAGTATCAAAAATTGGAGCTTTAAAAAAGTTATCTAAAAAGCCACAAAATATTATGGGATATTAATGTCGACATGTTTATGATCCTAGAGCAAGATTTTCCAAATATTCAATTTAAAAATCAAATTTTTGAAAAATCCAAAAATTGCAATTTTTCATATCAATTACAGAAAAATGGTACGAAATTTCTAGGACATAAAATCGAAAATTATATTATATTAAAAAAAATCATATTTATTGGTGTTACTCTCAAAGATGTTAATTTTGTGAGTAATAAATATAAAAATAAAACACAAGAATTTTTAATAGCATAAGTACCTCCACAATAAATCTTTGATTCTTTCGTGTTTTCTGGAGGTTATTAGGACGAGAATTACCCAACACACAAACACCCATCGCCTTAATCTACCAATTCCCCCATTTTCTTTATTATCTATACAGGTACAAAAATAAATTCAATTCTTCGCCGACAAATACTGAATCTCCGCAGTGCTAACGCACCGAAAAACTTCAGCTTTGACTTCCGCCTGCACCAAAAGCGGAAAACTCTTCACAGTCTCCGCCATACTCAAAAAAAATTGAGTAACTGTATCTTTTTCCACCCCACCACTCGCAAGTCTTCCACCATCCCCCTGCAAACACTTGACCAAATCCGCCACCGGGACAGAATCGCAAGAACTCGCCTTATCATCCTCCTGAACACCCTCCTCGAAATTCCCCTCCTCCGGCTCTATCTTCACATCGAAACCATCCTCATCTTCAGACAAATTACACTCAGTACTTTGCCTCTGCTCCTGCTGCCTCCTCCTCCTACTCTGTATACAATCCTGAAGAAAACTCATATTATCCTCAAAGCGCCATTTCTTCCGGACGTAGGCCCTCCGGGTGCGCAGAGCTTTTCTGTACCCGGAACGCAGGATCGTCCATTTCGCCCGACACAAGTCCGCTTAAAGTTGGCTTTAGTTGAAAGTGCTAAAATAGTTTTTTTTTACCTGATAGGTTGAGTTCTTTGCCTATTTGCTCCCAGATGAGGTCTCTTTTGTATTGATCAGCGTATTCCATGTTGTTGGAGTCGTATAATGCTGGGTGTTTGCTTACTAGGGTTATTAGTTCTTCTATTTGTGCTGTGTTTATGTTGATGGTCTTCATTGTAAGGGATTTATTCAAAGCACGAGTTACCGCACAAGCAGGTGGGAAGTATTTGGTTGTAGGAAGACGTGACAACCATGCGCGAGTTGTAGATAGGCCGCGAGAAATAAGGATAGATAAATTGCGTACGCGAAAGGTCGTCTCGACGATCGATACGTTTGGAGTTGGTAGTGGTTAAATGATGACAAAACCGGTGATACAGGAAAATTGTAATATTCCAAGCTGTTTTTTTAGAGGTGTCTGTTTAGATTTATGCTCAAATCAACAAATATGTGGCAACGCTGGAAGAATATATGTACCTATACATTTTTTTGATAAATCAAGTCTATTTCTCTATAAATCTGAGTCAAAAATACATCACTCCTAAGTCAAAGTGAAAAATTTGGGGACAAAATTTTTATGAGATAAAAATTTACGATGTCCTTTCTTCTAACAGCGTTCAACGTTTAAAGATTAGTTTAAATGCCATAAATTAACTATTTTCAACCTTGACTGAGAACTTATGAAGTCAAAGTTAATTTAAAACAAGTCGAGCCTGAATAAATGAATTTCTTCCACGTGTTTTTATATAAATATTTTCCATTGTTGTTGTAAAAATTGCATTAGAAACATGAATAGTTCAAAATCTTAAGGTAAATTGTGAATTTGCAAACAATAAAAAAAATTACACGTGTTGACGAATTCATGGGGGGGGGGACTGTGACGTCAAATGCAGTTCATTTTTATTTGAACAATCGCCTTTTGATTTGTGACTGATTTCTTATTTTTAATATTTAAAAGGCGGTTTTTCCAGTTGCTATTTTACAATTTTACATTTTTCGGATTCTTAGTTTTTCATTTACGGATTTTTCAATTGTCTCTCTAATTTCTTCTCCTCAATTTTTTAATTTTTCAATTTTACAGTTGTGCAATTTTTCGATTTTTCTATTATTCGATTTTTTTTAGTGTCTGTGTTATATTTTTTCGAATTTCCAATTTTTCAATGTTTAGATTTATTGATTTTTCAATTTCTGATTTTTCGGTTGTTGAATTTTCCAAGTTTTCCGATTTTTCAGTTATTCCGTTTTTGTTTATTCAATTTTTAGGATTTTGCAACTTTTCACTTTTTCGATTTTTCAATTGTAAACTTTTGTTGTTTTTAGTTTTTCAATTTTTGTTTTTCAATTATCCAATTTTTCAATTTCCCGATATTTTCAGTTTCTGTTATCGATTGTCAATTTTTCAATTTCACAATTTCTTCATTTTTCCATATTTCATGTTTGTGTTTTATTTTTTAATGTTTCAATTTCTCCGTTTTTCAGTTTATGTTTAATAATTTTTCATTTTTTCGATTTTTCAGTTTGTCGAATATTCTTTCAATTTCCCAGTTTCTCAGTTTTTGGCTCCTTCAAATGAATCATTGCTCAATTTTTTCCATTTTACTATTTAAATTGTTTTTTTTTACAATTTTCTTTGCAATTTTACTATTTTTGAAAACGTCAGTTTTTAAACTTTCTCGATTTTTTAATTATCCCATTTTTCGATTTTTCAATTTTTGATTTTTCGATTTGTCAATTTCTCAATTTTCCAATTACTCAATTTTTCCATTTGTCGTTTTGCAATTTTTAAGTTCATCAAATATTCGGTTGGTTTTTAATTTCTCGATTTTTTTTTATTTTTCGATTTTTTTAATTTTACAATTTCTCAAGTTTTTAATTTTTCTAATTTTTAATTTTTGCCCGTTGCAAGCGAATTCAATTCATTTTTATTTTTAAATAATTGCCTTTTGATTTGTGATTGATTTCTTATTTTTAATTTTTCAAACGCGCTTTTTTGAGTTTCTGTTTTTGATTTGTCGATTTCTGAATTTCCCGGATTTTTCCATTTTTCAGTTGTTTCAGTTTCTATTTCACAATTCCGCACTTTTTCAATTGTTCCGTTTTTGATTTTTCAATTTTATGATTTTGCAATTTTAGACTTTTCCCCTTTTGATTTCTGCGATTTTTAATTTTACAATTTTGTAGCTTTTAGTTTTACAATTTCCCGATATTTTGAGTTTCTGTTTAACAATGTTGCATTTTTTCGATTTTTCGGTTTTTGATTTTCCGATTTGTCGATTTTTCAATTTCCTAAATTTCGATTTTTCAATATGTAAATTTCTCATTTATTTTCGACTTTTCAAACTTGTCCGATTTTTCCAATTTTCTGTTGTTTCAGTTTCTGTTTTTCAATTTTCCACTTTTTCGATTTGTCGATTTTTTAATTGATAATTTCTCCTTACAATAATTGTCGAATTTTTCAATTATTCCACTTTTTAAGTTTCTGATTTGCAATTTTTCGAATTTTCAATTTTTCAATGTTTAGATTTATTGATTTCTCATTTTTTGATTTTTTAATTTTCGATTTTTCAATTTAGTTTTTATTGTTTTTGAGTTTGTTTTTTATAATTTTTTGGTTTATCGATTTATGAATTTTCAATTAATTAATATTAATATTTCAATTTTTCGATTTTTCAGTTTCTGTTTATCTTAATAATTTAGCATTTTTCCATTTTTCGATTTGGCGATTCTTCTTTCAATTTTCCAGTTTCTGAGTTTTTCGCTCCTTCAAATGTTTGAACGTTCAATTTTATCGATTTTTCAGTTTTATAATTTCAAATTTTGTTTGTTTATGTTGCAATTTTCCGATTTTTAAATACAATTTCCATTGCTAATATTTTAACTTTACCGGTTTTTTAATTATTCCACTTTTCTATTAACCGATTATGTTATTTAATTTTACCCAATTTTTCAATTTTTAATTTTTCAATTTTTAATTTTTCGATTTTCCAATTTTGCAATTTTTTCAGTTTCTCGATATTTTTATTGTTCAATTTATCAATTTCCTGATTTTAAGTTTCTACTTTTTTTTCAGTTTTAAGCAAATTAGTAGGTAAGTTTTTGATTTTTTGATTTTTTCCGATGCTTCGATTTTTCCTTTTTTAAGTTATTCAAATTGCCAAAAAAAATTAACAAACTTCAAAAAATTTAAAAATGAGAAATCGAACAACTGAAAACTGAAAATTTAAAAATTTTAAAAAACTAAAAATTCCAAACTTTGCAAAATTGTAAAATTCGCTAATCGAAACAATGAAAAAGAGGAAAATTAAAAATTAAAAAACTGAGAAAATGAAAAGTCGAGAATATGAAAAATTGAAAAAACGAAAAATTGAAACATTAAAACAAGGAAAAACTGGAAATTAAGAATGGAGAAATTGAAAAATTCAAAGTCGAAAAATTGAAAAATTAAAAATTAACAAATGGTAACATAAAAAAAATCGAAAAACCGAAAGATTGTAACATCGGGAAACTGAAAAGTTAAAAAGTGAGAAATTGAAAAGTTATAGCATTAAATTAAACAATAGATTTATTGATGCAATTTCTATTCCAATTTTTCCATTTTTCAAATATTCGATTTTTTTACTTTTATTGTTTCCATTTTTAGACTTAAAATTTTCAGTTTATCAAGTTTTATATTTATTTAATTTTCCAATTTTTCAATTTATGATTTTTCGATTTTTCAATTTATCAGTTTTAAAATTTCTTAATTTTTCAATTTTTAATTTTTCGATTTTCCAATTTTGCGATTTTTTTTAATTTCTCGATTTTTTTTATTTTTGGATTCGTCAATTTCCAATTTTTTTTCAGTTTTACGATTTTTCAAGTTTTCGAGTTTCTTATTTTTAATTTATCAATTTTCCAATTCTCAGATTTTTCATTTTTTAAATTTTTTAATTTGTCAGTAAAATGAACAATTTTATTCAAACTGAAATTCTGAAAAAATAAAAAATCGAACAACTGAAAAATTAAAAATTTTAAAAAGTAAAGAATCTAAAAACTCGAAAATTGTAAAATTGATTAACCGGAACATCGAAAAAGAAGAAAATCAAGAATTAAAATAAATTAGAAAACGAAAAATTGTAACATTGAAACAACGAAAAAACTTAAAAATTATTATGAATGGAGAAATTGCAAAATTCAAAATCGGGAAATTGAAAAATGAAAAATTAACAAATGCAAAAACCAAGAAAATCGAAAAATTGTAAGATAGGAACTTCGAAAAATTGTAACGTCGAGAAATAGTAAAAAAATCGATTAATTGAAAAGTTAAAAAATGATAAATAAAGGTATTTAAACATTGAAAAATGGGAAAACTGAAAAATAAAAATTGTAAAATTTCAAAATTGTAGCACTGAATTAAACAATCGATTTATTGATGCGATTTCCATTCCAATTTTTCCATTTTTCAAATATTCGATTTTTTTCACTTTTGCGAATTTTAATTATTTCATTTTTGGATTTTTTAATTTTTAAGTTCATCAAGTTTTAAATTTTTCTATTCACCGATTATTTAATTTTTCGATTTTTCAATTTTTCATTTTACGATTTGTCCATTTCTGAAATTTCCAATTTCTCGATTTTCCAATTTTTAATTTTTCGATTTTTCAGTTTTAAATTTTTTCAATTTCTCGATTTTTTTATTTTACGATTTGCCAATTTCCCGATTTTTTTCAGTTTTAGGAATTTTCAAGTTTTCGATTTTTATATTTTCAATTTTTCAATTTTCCAATGTTTTGATTTTTCGTTTTTAATTGTATCAATTTATCAACAACAAATTTATTCAAATTGAAATTCTAAATCTCAAAATTTTAACATTAAATTAACCAAAAACTGAAAATACGAAACAGTGAGAAACCGAAATATAGAAAAATTCAAAAATTAAAAAACTTGAGAAATTGAAAAATCTAAAAATTGTATGACTGAAAAGTGGAAACAAAAATTAAAGAATCGAGAAATTTGCAAAATTAAAAATGGGGTGATAAAAATTCAAAATGAAAAATTTAAAAACGAGAAACTGAAATACTTAAAATTGAGAAACTGAAACTAAAACTAGTAAAATTGAAAAATAGTTACATTATAACAACGAAAAATTGAAAATTTTAAAATCGAAAAATTGGAAAATCGAAAAATCTGAAAACTGAAAAAAACAAAAATTGTAAAATCGAAAAATCGTAACATTGAACCGCCGAAAAAATTTATAACATCTGTAAATCGAAAAGTAAAAAATCTAGAAATCAAAAAGTTAAAAATTGAGAAATTGAAAATTCGCAAAATTTTCAAAATCAGGAATTGAAAAACCAAAAAATCGGTGAATCTAAACGTGAATTTTCCGATTTTTCAATTTTACAATTGTGCAGTTTGTGGCGTTTTCAATTTTTCGTTTCTCCAATGTGTAAATTTTCCGACTTTTTCCATTTTTCAATTTTTCGAAATTTAGATTATCAATTTTTAATTTTTTTGTTTTTTCGACTTTTAGACTTTTTCAGTATTTTTTTGTCGTTTCGAAATTCAAATGTTAACTCAGTACACTATTAAATGGCCTTTATGCCAGTGATGACTGCCAAAATTTATTACAAACTTAGTATTTTCAAAAAATTAGTGTGTGATTGAATGATATATCAAAAATGCATTACATGAATTAAAAAGAGGTTACATGATAATAGAGCTATCTTTCAGATAGTAAACGAAAAAACAAAAAAAGTTTCAAAAAAATCGCAGCATGTACCTTTTTTCTTTTACTAACGGCTTACTGAATTTTTCTGAAGAAAAATGGTACTCTTGGTAAATTATAGTGTCAATATCAACTCATAAAAATTATATTATAACTATAAGAAAAAAAATCTGCTTTTCTGAGAAGTAGACAACCAACATTACACTCCTGTACAAAGAAAACCATAAATGTGTTTCTTTTCGTAACTTTCGTATCGTAGACCGTCACATGTAGTACCTACTAACGCCAACAATTTATATAAAACGAGTGGAGTACTCCAAGGCTCCATAAGTCGTCCAATTTAATAGAAGAAAATCGTTAGTGATTAAGAGTGTACCAACATTTAATGCTGTAATGAAGTCTTTTAATGCAGTCTCCTGAGTGTTCTAAGGTTAAGTACACAAAACTTGACAACACAATCAAGAAGTCCAATTCCTGATCTGACCCTCCAATATAATATAATAGGTAAGGTATACACCTTAAAACTTAAATGATGTCATCAATTTTTGATGGACACTCCAAGTAGAACACTTTTGGAGATTTTATTCTCTAACTCCTACTCTTATTTTTTGAAATAGTTGTGTAGGTAAAGGGTTATTTTCCAATATAAACACCAAGTTCTTTCAAAATAAACACTTTATTTCCAATAATAAGCCATCATTTTTGTGTATAAAAAAACCATAACACTTCGTGCAATTGTCATAAATAACACACTCTATTAACGTTCTTAAAATAGCTCTTGACCCAAAAAGTCTCCTTTCCGTTTCCTAAATACTCTTTTCAGTGCTACTTATAGGTATGTCCACACGTATTTATTTGAATTTATCTTCAAATAACATGTTTTGAAACTTTCTAACATTGATATGTACATTCCACAGTAGTAGAATAACTAGAATAGTAGAAAGTCATCTAAAGGGTCTGTTTTTAACGACAGGATGGATATATCTTCAAAATAGTACCTACATAGACCCTTAATAAATTTTACCCTCTAAAGTCTAAAAGTAACCCTAAAGCACTCCCAAACCCAAAACTCAAACTTTTAACTGTAAGTATGGTCTATATTCTTATCCCCTTTACACCTGCAACAACCCTTTTCCTGCAAATACTGCACCTCGGCCGCATTCACCGCCTTAAACACCTCCCCTTTAACCCGAGCCTGCATGATCAAGGGCAAACTCTTCACAGTCTCCGCCATGGAAAGAAAAAACTGGGTAACACAATCCACCTCCTTCACCACCTCCCTTACTCTTTCCACCCCAGAAACCCCCTGATTAGCCACCTTAAACCCGTCCCCTGTTTGCTCAGCCTCCCCAGCAACCCCCGTGCTGACCCACTCCTCATCAGGAATGTTATCACTCGAACCATCATACAAATTCTCCATTGGTTCCTCCTTAACAATCGTGATGAACTCCTCCTCGTTGTCCAGAGCGGCCCCTTCGGGATCCTCGGTGCCACGAGTGGTGTGGCGCCGCCTTTCCATGACGCAGTCCTTCAGGAAACTCATGTCGTCCTCGAAGCGCCACTTGCGGCCCCCGAAGGAGGTTTCCTTGTTGCGCAGGACCCGGCGGTAGCCTCCACGGAGGATGTTCCACTTGGCCTTGCATAGCTGGACTGTTGACAAAGTACCCAGAAATTTTTTTTCGTAGGACTTAATCCAGGGATACTTTACCGTTAACATTTAACTCCTTTGCTATTCGCTGCCAAGTGTTCTCCCTCCTATGCATGTCGCCATTGTCCTTGTGTCTGGTGTCGTACAATTCCGGGTATTTACTGACTAACTTTATCAATTTTTCTGTGTTTATGTGACTTAAGTGAGGATTCATCATTCTCTGGGACTAAGTAAAAGGGAAAACAATGTTTGGTTATGTGCACTATGGCGAAGACGCGTTCGATTCGATTGAACTGGTTTCGGGCGAACGACACCGAACGAACGATGACGAACACTGCACGAAGTTTGTTGACGGTCGTGTGATCGTGTTCGAAGGGGAACTAGCACAGGACCGGACCCAGGAAAGTCAGACCATTACCGCTGTTACGGTTTGTTGATTTTGCTACTGTTCGTCATCCGAACACTGTCTATTAATCCCTTTGTAGCAGTCTCATTCAGGTCTATTACTTATAGAGGATGAAGTGGCCAAGAAAAAACACGAATCTGTTTATGAAAGATACCGGCTTTAATTTAAATTAAGTATCGTTGATCCAATAGTGGATATCACAGTGTTGTATCTTACAGAAACCTAACCTAACGTAATGATAGAAACATAAAAAATTACACAACCCTTACATAAATGGCACTTACACAACACATAAAACGAACATTGCAAAACTCATTTGGGTAACTACAACTTAACTGACTAGTACAAATTCATAAATAGGAAGATAATCTACATTTATAGGTAACATAAATAGATTTCTGCACTGGCTATTGATTGTTTCTTACTCACAAACTAATCGACTCCCATAAAAATAACTCAGTTTGGATCATCAAAATTTTGGCATTTCTTGTAAATACGTATATAATTCTCTTGTACAAAATAACAACTTTTCAAATACGGCGTTTCCATTTGATTTAAATGCTGTTTGAATTTGGATCATAGCCTACTCGTAGCAAAAATGCATCAGAAATGAACTCGAAGCTTTGGATATCTTTGGTTCTACTATCAAACGAACTTAAGCCACATTGATGCAGTGACGATAATCATAGCTACAGCACTACAAAGTCAAGGCAAGAATTTCTCTCTCAAAGGAATGCTATAATCTCATTGCATCAATTTTAGTACAGGTACCAAATTTGTTTGGTGCAAATTTTAATTCTTAAAGAACGCATAACTTTGTTACCATGCAAGTATAAAAATAACGGATTTGAATTTTAACCAGAGCAAACTTCAGAGTGTTCGTCCCATGCGGACACCTGCAAAGAGAAGAGTTAGCGGAGGAACGAACGAGCGAGTCGCTTACTTGGCAATCCCGACTGCAGTACCACTGGTTGCCGCAACCCGCGCACACGAAGAGAGCTGACTTCTGGTTGCACCCCTGGCACTGGGGGACCTCGTCGCCGGCGTCGGAACTGTTGTCGCCGCGTCCTCTGCCGTCCAGGACCTCGCTGCTTTCGTCGATCACCAGCCGGTCGGCGCTGTCTTCGGCCTCGTCTTCCTCCTGAGCAGACACACTAAGTTGAGTTTTGGAGGTTCAACGGTTGCCCATTTGGGAATTTAGGGACCAGAAAATCGGCAACTCTTTAAAACTGGGACAGTCTAAGCTTGAAATTATAACTGTGGTGTGGAAGCCTTCCTTCCACCGAGTTTTCGACAGTTTCCATTTCGGAAATTTAGGGACCAGAATGAAAAGGTCAGGAATGACGATGTGAATCTCCCAGAAGACCCAGAAAGTGGGCAAAACTCTCTAAAACTGGCATGGTTCAAGACCAGAAAAGGTCTTTCTGTTATAATTCTGGCATGGAAGCCTTTCTTCCACCGGGTTTGGCAAAACACCCAGTTTTGGACAATTTCAACGATTTGTCCCTTCCGAAAATTTTGAGACCAAAACGAAAAGGTCAGGAATGAAGGTAAATATCTTCCAGAAGACCCAAAAAGTGGGCAAAATTCTCTAAGACCGGAAAAGGTCTTTCTGGCATGGAAGCTTTTCTTCCACCAGGTTTGGGGAACAACCAGTTTTGGACAGTTTCAACGGTTTGTGCACTTCGGGAATTTAGGGACCTGAACGAAAACGTCAGGGATGAACGTGAATCGCTCCCAGAAGAACCAGAAAGTGGGCAAAACTTTCTAAAACTGGCATGCTCCAAACCCGGAAAGGGTCTATCTGCTATAACGATCTGCGATATTGTTAATGGGATTACAAATATTTATTTTTTCGATTTTTTCAATTTCCCAATTTTGCAATGTGTCAATATTTGAAATTTCGTTTTTCATTTTTCAGCTTCATTTTTGAATTTTTAGATTTTTCAGATTTTAAATGTTCGATGGTCAACTTTTCCAATTTTTCATTTTTTTTCGGTGTTCCAATTTTTCGATTTTTTCAGTTTGTTTTTTTTAATTTATGAATTTTCAATTGGTTGCTACAATTTCAATTTCCCAATTTTTCGATTTTGCAAACGAGCAGTTTTTCAACTTTTCCTATTTTCTAATGATTCCATTTCTAGATTTTTCAATTTTTCAGTCTATCAATTTCTAAATTGTTTTAGAAGACGATTTTTTAATATTCCCATTTTTCAATTTTTGATTTTTTGGTCTGTCATTTTCTCAATTCTCCAGTTTTTCAATTTTTCGATTTTTCAGTTTTCATTTGTTGAGTTTTACTATTTTATTAATCGATCGATTTTTAAGATTTCGATTTGTATTTTTTTTCGTTTTTATAAAATCAAAAAAAAAAATTGAAAACTCTTTAAGTTTATAATTTTTTGATTTTACAATTTTCGATTTTTCGATTGGTTGATACTTCCCTGTTTTTCGATTTTGCAAACGTCCGATTTTTCACTTCTAGATGTTTCGTTTTTTGAGTTTAGAAATTGTATATTTTTTCATTAACCGATTCTCCAAGTTTTCGATGTTTTAATTTGACGATTTTTCAGTTTTTCGATTTTTAATTTCTTAATTTTACGATTTTGCAATTTTTCAATGTTTCAATAATTTCGTTTTTCAATTTTTGGATTTATCGATTGTTCGGTTTTTCAATTTCTTGTTTGATTTTTTTATTTTTCAATTTCCCGATTTTTTTCAATTGCTCAAATTTTTAATTCTTCGATTTTTCAGTTCAGCCCCAGTTTTACTATTTTTCAACTGATTTTTCAGATTTTCGTTTTTTTTTTCAATTTCCCAATTTTGCAATTTTGGAATTTTTCAATTTTTCGTTTTTCAATTTCCCGATTTTTTTCAACTTCTCAAAATTTTCAATTTTATGTTTCGCAAGTTTTTGATTTTTTTTGTTTAATTTTTCAAAATCTCAATGTTTCGATTTTTCATTTTCTAAATTTTTCGATTTATTGATAAAATGAAATTGAAAAAATTATAGCACTGAAACAACGAAAAACTGAAAAATTAGAACGGAGAAATTGAAAAATTCAGAATCCTAAATTGAAAAATTAAAAATTAAGAAATTGAAAAACTAAAAAGTCGGAAAACCGAAAAATGGAAAAAACGGAAAATTATAGAATCGAAAAATTGTAAGATCCAGAAATTAAAAACAATAAATCAGGAAATTGGAAATTCGAAAAATGAAAGTATCTAAAAATTGAAAAACCGAAAAGTTTGTGAATCCAAACATCAATTTTTGGGGTTTTCAACTTTTCTATTTTTTGTTTTCCATTTGTCGAGTTTTCAATTTTTCATTTTCTAAATTTTTCGATTTATCGATAAAATGAACAAATTTAAAATCAAAAAACTGTAAAAAAACAAAAACTGAACACTTGAAAAATTAAAATTCGAAAATAGAAATTGGAAAATTACAAAATTGTGAAACACAAGACACTGAAAGAGGAAAATTCAGAAATTGAAAAAACTGAGAAACTGAAAAATTAAAAGTCAAAAAATGGAAAAATTGAAAAATTAAAAAAATCAATAAATCGAAAACTTGCAAACCGTAAAATTGAAAAGTCTAGAAATTGAAAAAATTATAGCACTGAAACAAAGAAAAACTGAAAAATTAGAACGGAGAAATTGAAAAATTCAGAATCCTAAATTGAAAAATTAAAAATTAAGAAATTGAAAAACTAAAAAGTCGGAAAACCGAAAAATCGAAAAAACGGAAAATTATAGAATAGAAAAATTGTAAGAACCAGAAATTGAAAAACAATAAATCGGGAAATTGGAAATTTGAAAAATGAAAGTATCTAAAAATTGAAAAACCGAAAAATTTGTTAATCCAAACATCAATTTTTGGGGTTTTCAACTTCTCTATTTTTTGTTTTCCATTTGTCGAGTTTTCAATTTTTCATTTTCTAAATTTTTCGATTTATCGATAAAATGAACAAATTTATTCAAAGTAAACAGTTTGAAAAGTCAAAAAACTGTAAAAAAACAAAAACTGAACACTTGAAAAATTAAAATTCGAAAATAGAAATTGGAAAATTACAAAATTGTGAAACACAAGACACTGAAGGAGGAAAATTCAAAAATTGAAAAAACTGAGAAACTGAAAAATTAAAAGTCGAGAAATAATAATAATAATAATAATAATAATAATAGATATATATTTGCCAAACAGCATAAGCCACAAGTAGGCAAAAGAAAAAAATACAAAATACATATATAAAAAACAATAAACAAATAAAATGGAGAAATGGAAAAATTGAAAAATAAAAAAATCAATAAACCGAAAATTTGCAAACCCTAAAATCGAAAAGTCTAGAAATTGAAAAAATTGTAGCACTGAAACAACGAAAAACTGAAAAATTAGAACGGCGAAATTGAAAAATTCAGAATCGGAAATTGAAAAATTAAAAGTCAGGAAATTGAAAAACAAAAAAGTCGGAAAACCGAAAAATTGAAAAAACGGAAAATTATAGAATCGAAAAATTGTAAGATCCAGAAATTGAAAAACAATAAATCGGGAAATTCGATATTCGAAAAATCTGTGAAACCAAACATCAATTTTTGGGGTTTTCAATTACTCTATTTTTTGTTTTCGATTTGTCGAGTTGTCAATTTTTCATTTTTTTGATTTTTCAAATGTTCGATTTTTGAGTTTAGAAATTCTAAATTTTTCCATTTACCGATTTTTCAATTTTGATGTTCCGATCTGTCCACTTCTGAATTCTCCAATTTCTCTCTTTCGTTCTTCAATTTTCAGATTTATAAATTTATTAATTGTTCGGTTTTTCAGTTTCTCAACTTTTTGATTTTTCGATTTTTCAATTTCCCAATTTTTTCAATTTCTTACGGTTTGGAAGTGTGTTCAATTTTTTAATTTTTCAATTTTTCACTTCTTAATTTGTCAATTAACCCTAATTTATTCACACTGAAAATTTTGAAAAATCAAAAACTGAACAATTGGAAAATAAAAAATAGAAAATTGAAAAATCCAAAAATTAAAAAATTAGGAAATCGGCTAATCAAAACACTAAAAGAGGAAAGTTCAAAAATTGAAAAAATTGGGGAATTGAAATATTAAAAGTTGAAAAATCGAAAAGTTGAAACAACGAAAAATTGTAGCATTAAAACAACCAAGAACTGAAAAATTAATAAATTGAAAAACCAAAAAGTCGAAAGACCGAAAAATTGATAAAATGAAAAACTATAAAATCGAAAAAAAATAAACGGGAAATTCGAAAAATGAAAAAACATCTAAAAATTGAAAAACCGAAAAATGGATGAATCTAAACATCAACTTTTGGGGTTTTTAATTTGTCGATTATTTTCTTATTTTTCGATTTTTCAATTTCCCGATTTTTCAACTTCTAGAGCTTTTAATTTTATGTTTCGCAGTCGATTTTTTTTTTGTTTAATTTTCCAATTTCTCAATTTTTTGATTTTTCGTTCCTTAATTTGTCAATAAAATGAACAAATTTTGAAAAATAAAAAATTGGCAAATCAAAAATGGAAAAATTATGAAATTGGCTAATCAAAACAATGGAAGAGGAAAATTCAAAAATTGAAAAAAATTGAGAAATTGAAATATTAAATTGTAGCATGGAAACAACGAAGAACTGAAAAATTAAGAAAGGAGAAATAAAAAAACGGAACCGAGAAACTGAAAAATGAAAATTTATAAAATCGAGAAAAAAACGGGAAATTGAAAAAAAAAACATCCAAAAATTGAAAAACCGAAAAATGAATGAATCTAAATTTTCATATTCTCTGGTTTTTTTTTTTCGTTTTGTCGAGTTTTCAATTTCTCATTGTTTCTTTTTTTCAAATGTCCGATGTTTTGATTTTTCAATTTTACAACTATACAATTTTTCGATTTTTCCGTTTTGCAATTTTGTAGTTTCTGGGTTTTTCAATTTTTCTTTTCTTCAATTGCACATCCAATTTTTCTATTTCCGAATTTTTTCAGTTTCTGTTATACAATTTGTCGATTTTTCGATTATTAGAGATCAATTTTTCAGTTTTTATCAATTTTTCCATATTTTTTCGGTTTTCCAATTTTTTGAGTATCTGTTTTACAATTTTGCATTTTTAATTTTTTTTTTAAGCGCGAAATTCAAATTTCAATTTAGAACACCACATCCACAACAACTGAACATTATAAAAATCGCCTTTATGCCAATGATAGCTTCCAAAAATTATTACAAGCCTAAGATTTTCAAAAAATCAATGATATTAAAATTTATTAAAAAAAGATAGGTGATAAGAGAACAAAGAAATCAGAAAGTAAACGACAGAACGAAAAAAAGTTTCCAGAAAATTCGGGAAAGAAGAGCTGAATCTTTTCCAGAAGAACCAGAAGGTGGGCCAAATTCTCTAAAACTACGGTCCAAACCCGGAAAAGGTCTTTCTGTTGTAATTAATTGAGGTCTTTTTAATGGAATTAAAGGTATACAGCAATTGGTTCATGAACTCTTTGATAGACATATTTCCAAAAACAAAATTTAAGAAATTGGGGAAACAAGGATTACGAATCTTCCAAAAATTGTAAAAGATGTCAAAGCTTCTTACAAAATCTATATTGCTGATCTAAACAGTGATACTACAGTACTCTGGTGATCCTCACGGTTCCGCCTTGGATTCATTATTAAATAGGAATACAAATGGCTGCATAATTTTCACGAAAAAGTCGGATCTTTGACCGACCTAACTGTTTCCTAGTTATATTGACTTCTAATAATTGGCCTCAAGTAGGTTGCCAACTTTCAAAAACAATAATACCAATTTGTTCCACCGGCTTTAGCTCACCTGGGTCATCGACTTTCCCTTGTGAGGCGAGTCGTACTGGTTGCTCACTGGAGTTATCGTGATTTCGTTCCTGGCCTAAAACACACTATAGTACCTCGATTAACAAAAAAACCCACTGGTACCTTGCTGGTGGAAAGAATTTCCGAAATGGACATATTCGCGGAGCTGTTTAGATTATTCCCAATGGCTGTGGTTGTTGGAGAGGCGTTCCCTCGTTCTGGAGCTGTCAGAAGCCGGGCTAGCGTCGGACTGAACGAAGTCTTCGTGTTTGCCTTAGATGGACTCTACAACTTTTAGGTTAAAATCTGGACCACCAAGACGAATAAGTACCTTTGTTAAAATACCATGGAGCAAGGAGTTGGTGGGTGCTACGGTGGTGGTGGTGGGCACCGGGTGAACGGTGACTTCCGGGTACGGCGGCGGCGGCTTGATGGCGTTCTGGATGAGCTCGTGGCGCTCGCTTTGTGACAATTTGGCGAACTGCACCAGCATGTCTTTGAACGAGGGTTCGTGCGGGGTGGAAGACTCAGCACTTGAAGGTCTAGACGAGTCGACTCGGTTCTACAACAAACTATGTATTGACTACAAACATCAATATTGTCAACTCACCGAATCCATGGCGTTTAGAAGAATCCCGAGTTCGCTATTAACATCCAACCCTTGTAGATTCTGGTGGACTTGAGCTCCCGAGCCTAGTGCTAAAGACGAGAAGTTGAGAATGTGGTTATTTGAGTTCTTGCTGTCGTTATATGAGCTGCGAATTCTGCGTCCTCTTCGGGGGACGATCTCGGGATGTCTTTGTCTATAGTCGGCTATGATGGACTGCACGTCCAGAACCGGTCTCTTCTGACCCTGCCTGAAGTCCAGAGACCCGTTCAAGTCCTGAGAGTACTGCGGAGGCTTCGGGAGAATATTCCGGTGCCTGCTCTTGTCGAACCCCGCGCTCGGTATCTTCAACGTCTTGTTCGGGTTCGTGAGATTAGCCTTGAGGATGCTTTGGTTCGAAATCTTTAACCGTTCACCTACACTATCTGTCTGAGATTCACCGAACAGAACTTCACCGTTCTCGCCCTTGTCACTACTCAACAACATCACCTGCTTCTTCCGCTGCATCCTCAACAGCAGCTCCTCCTTCATCTTCTTCAAGTGGATTATGTTGTTCCACTCCCGCTCCTTCTCTTTCGCGAGTTCGTTCAGCGTCCGGATCTCCGCCAGGATCTGCTCGGTCTGCACCTGCAGCTGCTCCACGGTCCCGCAGTCCGCCATCTCGATGAACTCGTTCAAGATCTTATCCCTGGAGATGAAGTTCTCCTGGATGTCCATCCGCAGCCGCTTGTTCGCCGAGTCCTGGCTCTCCGTCGATTTCCGCTTCTGGGGCGCCTCCTCCGAGCTGGTGTTGCTCGAGCTCTCCTCGTTCACGTTGTTGGCTTCGAGCGCGTTGTCGGGTTTGGTGGAGTCGCCGTTCTCGGGCTCGCACTTGTCTTCCTTGGGTTCCGAGCCCTCGGGCTCTTTCTTTGGTATGTCGTCGATGTGGTTGTTCATGGAGGTGTCCTCTTCGAAGCCGTTCTCCTCGGGGTCTGCGGTCGCTTTGCTGGTTTCGTCATTGTTTAAGCGTTCTTCGGCGTGGCCGGGCGAGGAAGGCTGGACGCTGCAACCTTCGCGGACGTCCTCCATTATTTGCATTTTGGTCAGGCTGGAAAGAGGCATGAATGAGTGGTGACGTTAACGAGGTTGGGAAAGTGACGGAATTGATTGCATGCGATAGTGTTTGTTTACTGGAGATAAAGGTGAGTGTGTTTACCGGGTACGCGGGAGGCGAGAGCAGCGGTGGCGTAAACATTTTTTACGGGTGTCTGAACTTTCCAAAAAAGTTTGAAACAATGAAAATGTTTCAAACTCTCACAGCTACTATTACACAAGTTTTAAAAACTCAAAAGTGTAAATCTAATAGTTATTTGTGTATCAAGGCCATAAAGAAGAACTTTTTCGGCCGATCTTTTTTTCATCAAATTATGACAACAAAATTTTAGAAAAACAACACCAATTAACATTTGTTTGAAGAAAGAGTTATTCAAAAAAAAAATTTAATCTTTTATTTTTTCGTTGTCTCAAGAGCAGCCATCAGATTTCCTAAAATACTTGCACGACAGTAACGTCATGATTAATGTTAGGTTATGTATATCAAAGATAAGATATATATCCCCACCCCTAATTCTTTTTGAAACTTCAAGGTATTATTCTTTTCGTAGAAATAACGGCTTCCGAAAATAGAATCACGCACCCATTCTTGTGTGATATTTCGCTTAGATCAGGTCAAGTCAGATCAAATCAAGTCAACTCAGGTCAAGTCAGGACAAGTCAGCTTAGGCCAATTCAGGTCTGGTCAGGTCAGGCCAATTAAGGTCATATCCAACTTAGGTCAGGTCAGGTCAAACAAGATGCAAATTCAGATCAATTCCAGATCAAGTCAAATCAGGTATAGATCAAATATAGGTCAGGTCCAGGCCAAGTTCACGTCAAGTCAGGTTAGATCAGATTAGGTCAGGTCAGTTTAGAAATCTTGTACCCACAATTTGTTGGACACTTTTCAAATCATTTTCAGTTTTTTTTTTCAATTGGTCAATTTTTCCAATTTCTCAATTTTGCAATTTTTCAATTTTTAGATTCGTCACTTGTTCGGTTTTTCAATTTGTCGATTATTTTCTTATTATTCGATTTTTCAATTTCTAGATTTTTCAATTTTATGAACAAATTTACTCAAATTTTGAAAAGTCAGGAAACTGAAACATCAAAAATTGTACCATTGAAAAATAAAAAATCTAAAATTGAAACACGAAAAAATGTAAAATTGGCTAACAAAAACACCGAAAAACGGAAAATTCAAAATTTGGAAGAACTGAGAATCTGAAAAATTTAAAAAACGAAAAATTGTAGCATTGAAACAATGAAAAACTGAAAAATTATAAATTACGGAACCATTCGAAATATAGAAAAATTGATAAATCGAAAAGTTGACAAATTGAAAAATCGATTAATTGTAAAATAGAAACTGAAAAATCGGGAAACAGAAAAATTAGATACGTAATTGGAAAACAACGATTGAAAAACCAAACTACGAAAATTGAAAAATATAAAAAAATGAAAAACTGAAAACTCGACAATTCCAAAAATGAACAAAGTTTTTCGGTTTTTCAGATTTTAGATATTTTATTTTTCGAATTTTCAATTTTGCCTTTTTTGTTTTTCAGTTTTTCGAAGGTACAATTTTTCGACGTTTCAGTGTTATAATTTTTCATTTTATCATTTTTCAGTTTTTCGATTTTTAGATTTATTAGTTGTTGGGTTTTCCATTTCTCGTTTTTTTATGTTTCGATTTTTCAATTTCCCCATTTTTTCTATTTCTAGATTTTTCAAGTTTAGGAATTTGCAATATTTTTTTTAATTTTGATTTTGCGATTTTACAATCGTTCGATGTTTCAACTGTTCCTATTTTTTAATTGCATTTTTAGATTTTCCAGTTTTTCAGTTCATCAATTTTTAAATTTTTCTATTATACTGATTTTTCAATTTTCGAATTTTCAGTTCTTCAGCTGTTCAGTTTTACCATTTTTTCCATTGATTGATTTTTTCAATTTTTTAATTTTACAATTTTGCAATTTTGCAAGGTTTCAATTGTCCGGTTTTTCAATTTTCCAGACTTCACTATTACGATTTTGCAAATTTTCAATTTTTTGATTTTTTAATCTTTCAATGCTTCGATTTTTCATTTAAGTTTTCAATTTATCAACAAAAGAACAAATTTATTCAAACTGAAAATTTTGAAAAATCAAAAATTGACCAATTGAAAAATAAAATATCGCAAATTGAGAAATCAAAAATTGCATATTTGTAAAATTGGTTTCTCAAAACCCTGAGAGGAAAATTCAAAAATTGAAAAAAATTGAACAGTTGAAAAAACGAAGAATTGTAGCACTGAAAACGAAAAACTAAAAAATTGAAAATAGAGAAATGAAATATTAAAAATTAAGAAATTGAAAAACGAAAGCTCGAAAAACCGAAAAATCTATCAAATTAAAATTATGAAATCTAATTGAAAAACAAAAAGAAGTGGGAAATTGAAAATTCGAAAAATGAAAGTATCTAAAAATTGACAAACAGAAAAATTGATGGATTTAACCATCAATTTTTGGGGTTTTCTATTTCTCGATTTTTATTTTTTGATTAGTGGAGTTTCTAGAATTTTATATCTTGCTATTTTTCAATTTTGCAATTTTCCAGTGTATAGGTTTTTCAATTTTTCTTTTTTTTTACTTACATATCCAATTTTTCTCTATTTATCGATTTTTTCAGACTCTGTTTTATGATGTCAATTTTTCGATTTCTCAATTTCTCCATATTTAAAAATTCCGATTTTTTAACTTTTCCGATTTTCCATTTTTTTTTAATTTTTCGATTTTTTAATTTTTCAATTTTTCAGTTTTTCAGCTGTTCAATTTTAGCATTTGTTCAATTGATCGATTTTTCAGTTTTTCGATTTTTCAATTTTACAATTTTTCAAGATTTCAATTCTTCGATTCTTCTATTACCCGATTTTTTTGAATTTCTAGACTTCTTGTTACGATTTTTCATTTTTTAAGTTTTCAATTTATCAATAAAATGAACAAATTTATTCAAACTGAAAACTTTGAAAATCAAAAAATTGAAAAATAAAAAATCATTTTATTTTGAAAAATTGAAAAACTGCAAAATTGAAAAATTGACTAATTAAAACAGTGAAAGAGAAAAATTCAAAAATTAAAAAAATTGAGAAACTCAAAAATGCAAAATCGAGCAAATAAAATATTAAAATTGAAAAACAAAAACGTCAAAAACCGAAAACAATTAAAAAAAAAATAAAAATTATAAAATCGAAAAATTGTAACATAGAAGCGGGAAATTGAAAATTCGAAAAATGAATGAATGAATATAAACATCAATTTTTTAGGTTTTAAATTTCTCGATTTTTATTTTTCGATTGGTCGAGTTTTTACAATTGCGCTATTTTTTTATTTTCCAATTTTTTTCCATTTTTCCATTTGCTTTTTAGAATTTTTCGATTTTTAGATTTACCGATTTTTAATTTTTGATTTTTCGATATGTGATACAATTTCAATTATCCTATTAGTTTTTCGTTTTTCCATTTCTAGGTTTTTAAATTTTTTAGTTATCAATTTCTAAATTTTTCTGTTAACTAATGTTTTAGTTTTCCAATTTTTCAATTTTTGATTTTTTAATCTGTCAATTTCTCAATTTTTGATTTTCGATCTGTCAATTTCTCAATTTTTTCAATTGCTCGATTTTTCCAATTTCTCAATTTGGCAATTTTTCGATGTTTCAATTTTGCGTTTTCAATTTTTAGATTCATCAGTTGTTCGATTTTTCAATTTTTCGTTTTTTTTTTTCTTATTTATCGCTTTTTCAATTTCCCGAGTTTTCATTTTTTTGAACAAATTTACTCAAACTGAGAATTTTGAAAAATCAAAAATTCAACAATTGAAAAATAAAAAATTAAAAATTGAAATAGAGGAATAGTCAAAGTTTGAAAAAATTGAGAAATTGAAAAAACGACAAATTGTAGCATTCAACCACTGAAAAACTCAAAATGGAGAAACTGAAATATTCAGGATCGAGAAACTGAAAAATTAAAAATTAGGAAAATACAACACAAAAAAATCGAAAAACTGAAAAATTCAAAAACAAAAAAAGGGAAAATTTTGAAATTCCAAAAATTAAAGTAACTAAATATTGAAAAACCGAAAAATTGATGAATCTAAACATGATTTTTCAATTTTACACTTGGCAATTTTTCGATTTTTTAATTTTTAATTTTTCATTTTTTCGATGTTTCGATTGTTGGTTTTTAAGTTTTCAATTTATCAATAGAATGAACAAATTTATTCAAACTGAAAATTTAAAAAAATTAAAAAACTGAATAATCGAAAATTGAAAAATTGAAAAATAAGAGATCCAAAAACTGAAAAATCGAAAAATTGCAAAATTGTAAAATTGAAATGAGAAACTGAAAAATTCAAAATCGAGCAAATAAAATATTAAAATTGAAAAACAAAAACTCCAAAAATCGAAAAATTGAAAAAAAAAAAATAAAATCTAAAAATTGTAACATAGAAGCGGGAAATTGAAAATTCGAAAAATAAATGAATATAAACATGAATTTTTTAGGCTTTAAATTTCTCAATTTTGCTATTTTTCGATTTTCCACTTTTTTTCCATTTTTCCATTTGCTTTTTAGAATTTTTGGATTTTTAGATTAGTTGATATACAATTTCAATTATCCTAGTAGTTTTTCGTTATTCCATTTCTAGGTTTTTAAATTTTTTAGTGTATCAATTTCTAAATTTTTCTGTTAACTAATTTTTATTTTTCCGATTTTTCAATTTTTTATTTTCGATCTATCAATTTCTCAATTTTTCCTTATTCGTTTTTTTTTCCTTATTTATCGATTTTTCAATTTTTTTAACAAGTTTACTCAAACTGAAAATTTTGAAAAATCAAAAATTGAACAACTGAAAAATAAAAAAATTAAAAGTTGAAAACAAAAAAATGATAGATGGTAAAATTGGCTAATCAAAACAGTGAAAAAGAAGAATAGTCAAAATTTGAAAAAATTGACAAATTAAAAAATTGAAAAAACGA